AGTTGAGAACTTTTTTAATATGTTAGGAATGGTGATCAATGTGGTGAATGCTTCTTGCAAGCGTAAAGACATGCTTCGACAAAGTTACAAAGATAGAGTGCAAGAAGCAATTAGTAAGTCTGAAATTGATACTGGAACAGGAAAATGCCAAGAGCTTTCTCTTATACGAGCCGGAGATACACGGTGGGGTTCTCATTACAAAACCATTTTGAGCTTGATTGCTTTGTTTCCGAATGTTGTTGAAGTGCTTCGGTATGTTGAAGAGGACGGGGATAATGGTTTTAGTCGCACTCAAGCAACTGGTATTTTAGCATATTTGAAGACATTTGATTTTGTAATTTATTTGCATTTGATGTTTCATATTTTAGAGATCACAGACTTGTTGTCAGAGGCTCTTCAAAAAAAGGATCAAGATATTTTGGAAGYGGTWTMATTGATAAGAGGAACCAAACAACTATTGCAACAATTTAGAGAAACTGGTTTTGATCCACTTTTGAAGAAAATGTATTCTTTTTGTGAAGCAAATGGTATTAAGGCTTTGGATATGGAAGACCGTTATTCAAAAAATGGAAGACAAAAGACCAACATCACCAATTGTCATTATTACAAGTTTGATATTTTCAACACTGTTGTGGACATGCAAATTCAAGAGTTTGGGGATCGATTTAGTGAGGTAAGTACTGAATTGCTTAAAAATATAGCAGCTTTGAGTCCATGCGATTCATTTTCGCAGTTCAATGTATCAGATTTATTGAAGTTGAGTGAGTTGTATCCTCAAGATTTTAGTCATATGGAAAGGATCGCTCTTGAGAAACAACTTAACATGTACTATTTGATTGTGCATTAAGATGAAAGATTTGCCAATTTGAGTGGTATTGCCGAGCTCACTAGACTGCTAATGGAAACAAAAAAGCATCAAACTTATCCTCTAGTACATCGGTTATTGAAGTTGGCTTTGGTTTTGCCCGTTGTTACTGCAACAGTAGAAAGATGTTTTTCTGCTATGAAGATTGTGAAGTCAGATTTGTGCAACAAAATCGGTGATGAATTTTTGAATGCTGCAATAATATGTACTATAGAAAAAGAAGCACTTCTCGCAGTTTCAAATGATGATGTAATTACTCAATTTCAAAAGATGAAGAGTCGTATGGCACAATTGTAAGAGGTAACTTTTTATCATTTTTGTATGAAATTGAAGTTAATTATTATTTTACTTTATATCATACCCCCTACAATATATTTTTCTGCATCCGCCACTGTACTACATCATCGATTTAGTTTCTACTACGGTTCCTACTCAATCCCCCGTTCATCACTAGTTTCAACCTCAGAGGAATAAAAGTCATGGATAAGTTCAATGCGTTATATGACATTAGTTTGGTTAAAGTAAGTAGTTTCTGATTCCCAAAAGTCTATGTTTCTTCTTTCATTTCATTTTCATAGGGGTAGGAATTGAATCAAATATTCTATTATCCATTGTAGTAGCATTCTACATATTCCAATACATTTTTCGTTTCTGTATGGTTTGGCACTAGTAATTATTTCACCTTTGGGACTTGATGTACAATCACATAAACACATGTAATTTACTTTAAATTATAGAGTAATGTGCGATTTACCAAACACTTACTTGGGTAAGCGTTTACCAAGTCACATTACCTTATCGAATGAATATGATAAGGACCAAGAATCTTACCCGATAAGAAAAAGACAAGGACCGAGAGTCTTACCCGGTAAGTGAGGGCGACGACTCTTTCCATGGTAAGCGTTTACCGGGTAAATTATTGTATATGATGTTGTTTTGGTGGAATAAAATTTAACTTGATAAGTAAGTGGTAGTGTTAAATTTTACTGGTAAGTGCTTACCAGGTGAGTGTTTGGTATACAACCCCTAAATTACAATTTTTGTTTGTGGTTGGCACTTACTATCAAATATAGTCCTTATTTTAAAGTAATTAGACTTTTGATCACTATAGTTGTCACTTTGCTTCAATTTTGGTCCATATGGCTAACAGTTGTTGATGGATCTAAGCTAATTTCCTCCCAGGACCTCCTCGAGTTTTAAGAATTGTAAGCAACGGTTCTTCTCATGATCATGGTTTTGAACTTTCGGCGATGTTGTAAAGACGATGAAAATGTAATTAAAACGAAATTGAAGGCGAGAACATGTATTTATAGTATTAAAATTCCCAACAATTGCAATCTTTCATGAAGAGTTGCAATGGTTCATGAATAAGGTTGGTCGTATCCGAGATAGAGGTGGCCAAATGAGTCGCCAGGAAAGGGGGAGGGATCGGGAGTCGTCGAAAAGGTGGAACATCTCTCGTTAGAGTGTTTGTAATATGTATATATCTATATTATATTATAAAGCATTTGACAAAAACTCTTAAAAACCATTTTTTATGTATGAAGTACTGTATATTGATGCATATTACTTTAAATTCAAGATTACAAGTAAATTATGCATAAATATAACTTATTAAAGCTTCATATTTGAATTCATGTAACTAAATACGGATAAACATAATCAAATAGAGGATAAACATCTCATTATCGAGTTCTAACAAAATAATTAATTATTATCTTTATAAGAAAAATTATATTATTAAACCAAATATAAATTACCTCGTTATTGAACCTAAATTAAATTATAATAAAAAAATGAATTAAAAAATTACACAAAAATAGAATTTTAAATAGTTAATTTGATACTAATATCAATATGTTTTTTTTGTCAAATTTTTATGATATTTTCAGGTTTATATTTTATTCAAAAATAAAACATAATCGCATTTTCAAAAGCACATAAGTAGGGATGGCAAAAAAAACCGAAATCGACGGTGAAAACCGAAAACCGAAACTTTTGGGCCGGGTTCGGGGACATTTTATCGGGGACGGGACGGGGATTTTAACGGGGACGGGGACGGGGGCGGGGACGGTGATCACCGGCCCGGCCCGGCCCGATATGTATATATATATATATATATATTTATTTATTTATTTTAATTTATATATATACATATATATATATATATATATATATCTATATATATATAATATCTTTAAAAAAAGTAACATTAAAATTTTAAAAAAAATTATCCACTTTACCTCAACAACCCAAATAAAGCTCACGAAAAGTCTAGTTTATTTGTCAAAAACCATGATTTTAGTTGTATGATGTTCGAATTTTTGTTTAGTTTTATATTGTAATCTAATACATTGTTTGTAATTTGTTCAATTATGTTTGAGACATTTAAACTTAGATCTTTAAAAATTTGTAATTTACTTTTAATTGTGAAAATTAACATATTGTAATTTTTTTCATATCGGTTTTGGGTTTCGGGTTCGGGTTCGGTTATAACCAACGATGAAAAAGAGAATTTTTATCCTTAACGGGTTCCCCAACGGGGATCGGGGAAACCGCTGGGACCCGATGGGGATCCCCGATAAGATCCCCGGCAGGGATCGGGACGGTTACGGGGACGGTTTTAGCTATCGGTTTCGGGGACGGGGATACCAATACCCGGCCCGTTGCCATTCCTACACATAAGACCATATTATAACATCGACTGAGATAAAGAATAAAATTAAAATATTAAAATTAAAATGTATCTCGCTGCATTATGCGAGTACTTTTCTAGTAATATTAAATTTAATAAAAAAATAATAAAATTTTGTTTTGTTTCTTAAAAACACCGAAATGCCTGTGAGTTAACATACCTTGTTAACAACGGTTAGACACGGAACCAAAATTGAATAAAGTGCCAACCACAATAAAATATGGACCAGATTTGTTGTGAATGGTAATCACAGGGACTAAAAGTGTAATTTTTCGAGACGAATAAAAAAAGACGGCGTATGTCTGTTTTCCATGGGCTGACGAAGTTCATTGATATCCTGTTTCAAATGAGATGGTTTACTTGTAAATCAAGCCACCGGTTTACTGGCCGCCACCGCTGGTTCCCCGCCGCTGATTCCCAGCCGCTAACATTGCCAATCAATTAACCAGCTCCCTTGTTCATATATAAAGCCGTGAATCACTATCTCTTAAGTGGTGTTTCTGTGTCAGACGGTAAAATGTGTATATCAGTGTTTCTATGGCAAGCTCATCCGCTTTATCCGTTTCTTCTATTGCTCAATCGAGATGAATATCATGACCGGTGAGCTGAACTTAATCAATTTCATACCAAATCAGTCATTCGCTGGTTTACTTTGTTCCAATGTACTCAATTTTGGCCACCGTATTTTTCTTGGTCTTCTAGAACAGACTAACTACTTTTTTTTATATGATCGATATGGGTAAATTCATCTATTGCAATTCTAACTACTTGTTATATATGTAAGACCGACAGATCCATTAAATTGGTGGGAAGGTGGAAAAATATTGGGTGGCAGAGATGTGACAGCCGGGGGAACGTGGTTGGCATCTAGCAGAGGAGGAAAGGTGGCTTTTGTCACCAATGTACGCGAAGTTAAGCTAATATCTAATGCAAAGAGTAGGGGAGATCTTCCAGTTCGTTTTTTGAAGGTTAGTTTCAAGTTCCCGTTGTATTAAAACTATGCCCACCACCTGTTTGTTTTTATTTCCCTATAATGTATCCAGTGTCGTATCCTATTTAGTTGAGGTAACTTTTTTCGATTATGATTTATGTTTCACAAAGAAATGCATTTAGAAATTTTACACAAGCAAAGTCTGGGATCATGATGAGACCTGGTTAATGATGTATTAGGACAAACATGTTGTGTAATTTCAATCATGAAAAGCGTACTTTGTTCAACACACAAACCATTAACAGTGCTCATGCAATCGCATTTTATTTAGTAATTGTCACTATGTGATTAGGCAGGACCCGAACAGAACAAATTCAAGCGGGAACACCTTTTTTTGACTATAAGAAATAAACCTATAGAAAAACATTGTAAGTTTGTTGGTCGGTTCCTTGCCTTTGCAAGGATAGGTTTCGTGTTCGTCCCTTCTCACCATATTTTCTTCCATTTTTTTAAATTTAAAAGCTGAAAAATAATGAAATTGCCAACTGAAAGTCGTGAACACACGTCCTTCCTTTCCTTAACATGGCAACATACACCAACCCTGCCACCAGAAACTTGGGTCTTTAGTTTAGCTTCAAAAAGTATAAGGGCACGCAAGAAATTTAGAGCGTTCACCTTTCAGGTCCCTATTTTTTTCACTGCATCAGGAAGATGGAGTGGGAGCATGTGCACCCCCCCTCTCTATGTAGTTCAGCCCTTGGGATTATATTTGTGATTATATTAGCCCATATGATAATTCTAACATTCTCTGACCTATACAAGATAATCTAACCACCAAATTGTGATTACATAAAGGCGGTCAAGTAAATCATGCATAACATCGTGCCGATATGATACATAGTTACACAGTGTTTATGCCTTGAAGACATTCAAATACATTTACAAGCATTAAATAAAGATGCATGTGGTACAACAATTGAGTCCATATGCAATTGCCCCCTTTTGTACCTGCCACTTCGCCAAACAACAACAATACATACATATGATAGCAACAATAAGAAGTGACTACAAATATCTTCATGCATGTTTAAAAACCATTAGCTATAAGCGGTCAATATATAATACTAGCTTGTTAAATACATAGAATAGCAAACTCCCACTTCTTTCATCAAGCTAGGCTCCTAACGATCCATGCAGGCAACATGTTTTGAGAACAACATGTTAGCAGTAGGCGTGTACTCAATAGTAATGAGGGGTTCAATAACTTTCTCTTTAACAAAACATGTCATATTAATATGCTTAGAGCGAGTACTTCTGTTGTTCATAGAGAAAGCTACATCTACTAAGTTGTCATATGATAGGAAGCCGATAGACTCCAAAGAAGGGAGGAAGGAACAAGAATAGTGGAGCAATTTTCAGATATCCCATTAATAAACCAAACGTACATATTTATAAGGAAAACAATGCAATACTAGTCTACTAACTACCACTTGCCACTACTAGCTAAATTAATGCAAACTATGTGGAATGTAGTCCACTTCTTCTCCTAGAAAATTGGAACTAACACATGCATGACTGACAAACATAAACTCTTCCAACGTTCGTGATGACCTGGTGGTCCTCTCCTAATTTCATGCTGACTATTTCTCATGTTGACTTTAGTCTTGCAAACGGGCCGGACGTCTTCGGTTTCTGACGGGCCTGGATTGCAAGGATACTCCATTGGTTCGGCCTGGTACATTTGGCCCAACAGCTCCTTCGTTCGTATCAAGATCGGAAGCAGAGGAAGCCCAAAACGACGGAAAGAAACGTTGGATGTCATCTGCGTTTCCCACGTAGCCTCATGTGGCGCACAACCCTGCCATGAAAACAACACCTTTGGCACCCTCGAGTCGTTACGTGATTGCAAGATTGCAACGGTTGCATGACGGGAAGATCATCGTGAGTGGTCGTAGGAAGAGGAGCTTGCTGAGCATGTGGATCACCATGACACGGTCGCAACAAGGAAATGTGAAATACCGGATGAATGCGACTCTCCGAAGGTAGAGCTATACGTATGCAACCTGACCAATTCTTGCTTCCACCAGAAAAGGACCAAAATAACGGCAAGCCAGCTTATGAGACGTTCGCTGAGCAACCGTTTGTTGACGATAAACCCGGAGTCGAACATAAACCCAATCACCGACGTTAAATTGTTTGTCGAGACGGTGCTGATTAGCTTGGGAAGCCATGCGCTGTCGTGAAGATTGCAAAGTGTCATTAAGCTGCTCAAGAAGTTGGTGTGCCAGCAAGGTTTCATTAATAGATGCCATGGAAGATGAACCAGCTAAATACGAAGGCAAATTAGGTGGAGGCCGGCCATATAGAACTTGAAAATAAGGCAAATTAGGTGGAGGCCGGCCATATAGAACTTGAAAAGAAGGCAAATTAGGTGGAGGCCGGCCATATAGAACTTGAAAAGGCGACATCCCCATTGCACTATGATGTGTAGTATTGTACCAATACTCAGCCAGGTACAAATAACGATTCCATGAACGGGGCTCGTCACCTGCAAAACAACGAAGATATGACTCAAGACAACGGTTAACGACTTCGCTTTACCCGTTTGTTTGAGGGTGATATGCGCTCAAATGACGGAGTGTGGTGCCTAGTTGCTTGAAAAGCTCCTGCCAAAAACGACTTAGAAATAGCGAGTCGCGATCCGAGATGATGGACTTGGGTAACTCATGAAGCTTATACACAGTGTGTAAGAATAAAGTGGCCAAAGAGACTGCTGTGTAGCTTGGAGGCAGCGCAATAAAATGGGCGCTCTTAGAGAGCCCATCAACGATGATCTAGATGGTGGTTTTTCCGTTTGAGGGTGGAAGTTGGGTGATAAAATACATGGTAAGATCCTCCCATATGTGATTTGGAACTGGTAATGGCTGGAGCAACCCGTAAGGACGGTGCGTTGGGCATTTAGTTTGTTGGCAGGTTGGACATTCCCTGATGAATTGAGCAACAACATCTCTCATGTTGGGCCAATAGAAGGTGGCCCCTAATCGGCGTAGGGTCGGCTGTATCCCAGAGTGGCCACCGTTGAGTGTGGAGTGATGCTTAGCAACAATCCGACGCCTGAGGTCCGGGATTGTTGGAACAAAAATACGATCAGAGTAAAAAACCAAGCTGTTGTGGACTCGATATTCTGGAAATTCAGCAGGTTACTTGTTGAAATTGAGCAAAAAACGCAACCCTTCTTGCGTCGTGGAATAATAACGGCGCAATTCTTCAAGCCAGGGAAAGGTAGGCGTTGAAAGGGCAAATAGAACCGGGTCATCTTGGCGGCTTAGTGCATGGGCGACTTTGTTATCACGCCCCGGTTTATATATGATTTCGAAATCGTACCTCAGTAACTTTGCGACCCATTTATGTTGGTCCGGAGTTTGAATTATTTGTGTTAACAGGTGACGCAAGTTGTGCTGATCAGTATAGATTCGAAATCGCCGACCTAAGAGATAGTGTCGCCATTTTCGTACCGCCTCTGTGAGGGCGTACAACTCACGAGTATAGGCTGAAGAAGATTGCATTCAAGGACCCATTCTTTTACTGAAAAACGCCACCGGGTGATCATCTTGGGATAAAACAACCCCCGCTCCTGTACCCGATGCATCCATGGTTACGTCGAACACCTTTGAGAAGTCGGGAAGGACCAAAATCGGAAACGTGGTCAAGGCGTGTTTGAGAGCAGTGAATGCCTCGGTTGCCTTAGGACTCCAAGTAAACCGTTGGTGTTGCAACAAATCTGTGAGGGGGGAGGCTATGGTAGCATAATTCTTTACAAACCTCTGGTAGTAACCGGTGAGACCAAGAAACCCACGAAGTTTGGAGATTGAATATGGAGCTGGCCAATCAATAATTGCTTTAATTTTCTCTGTGTCCACTGCTACACCTTTGCATGAAATCACATGACCCAAGTAGTGAACTTGCTCTTCCACAAAAATACATTTAGATCTCTTAGCATAATACTTGTGGGTCTGGAGCGTTTCAAAAACCGAACGCAAATGTTGCAGATGTGATTCACGTGTAAGAATATAGACAAGAATGTCGTCTAAGAAGACGACATTCTTGTCTATATTCTTACACGTGAATCACATATCGGCCCAAACGATCACGAAATAGGTCATTCATTGCGGCTTGAAAGGTGGATGGCGCATTCGAGAGCCCGAAGGGCATTATTAAAAACTCGTAATGGCCATCTACGGTTCAGGAAGCTGTCTTGTGGGTATCAGCAGGTGCGACCCGGATTTGGTGATACCTGGATCGTAAATCGATCTTAGAAAAATAGCAGGAGCCATGTAATTCATCCAACAACTCATCCATAATAGGATACTGATCTCGAACCGTAACGGCGTTAAGCGCTCAATAATCCACACAAAAGCGCCACGTCCCATCTTTTTTGCAGACTAGCAAAATAGGAGACGAGAAGGGGCTAGTGCTTGTTTTGATGACCCCGTCTTGCAACATTTCGGAGATTAATTCCGTCATAACAGCCTTTTGGTAATGGGGGTAGCGGTAAGGCCGGACGTTAACGGGGGCGGTGTTAGGCAGCAGATTGATGTGATGGTCATGTTGGCGTTGAGGGGGGAGACTTGTAGGTTTAGTAAACAAAGTCTCATACTCAATGAGGAGAGAAGCAACATCATCAGCTAGGTGGAGATTGGGATCGTGGACATCAGGGATGAGATCTAACACGACTGCAAAATACTCAGCGATAGAATGTTTTTGGTTCGAGTGGTAAAGGCTATGTAGGGAGGTTGGGGAGGCAAGAGGCTCACCCCGTAGGGTTACTACCTTGTTGAGGTGATTAAAGGTGAGTTGAGGGATGGAGAAGTCAGCCGTTCCTAAAGTACTTAACCATGACATCCCTAAGACAACATCGGCTCCTTCGATCGGTAATATATATGGTGTGGATAAGGCAACATCGATACATTGCCTTGTGCAATTAATGTAGGTGCCATTACCCACCATCACAGGGAAGGAAGGTGTGGAAACAATAGGTAGGTGAAGGAAAGAAGCAATGCATGGCTGCACTATATTATGGGTGCTGCCGTTATCTACGAGCACCGTAACTGGATGGCCACTAATGTGCCCGGTCACGTGCAAGGATCAGGGAGATATGTTACCGTGAAGTGCTAGTGGTGATAGGGTTAGGAACTGGTTAACAACGAAGTTAAGGTGGGAGGATTCCATGATAGTTGAAGCGTTAGGTGGATCGGGTTCTGGTGGTAACGTTGTTGTTGGGTCGACTTTGAGAGTGTCGGGGATTGGTTCATTAGATTCGAGAAGCAAGAATTGGGGTGGATTGCAACGGTGCCCCGGTTGATATTTCTCCAGGCATCGAAAGCGCAAACCTTGGCTACGGTGAGCTTGTACCTCTGCTGGTGTGAGACGACGCAACGGGAGGGTGGTTGGCGACTTTGGTGGAGCTGTTAACATGGGTGGCGAGGAAGCAATGGTGGAGGTGATGGTCGCTGGGCGGTTAGGCGTGGCGGTAGAGGAGTAGGTGATGATCATGGTTGGGTTTTGGCTTGCGTTGAGCTTGTCTTCTACAAGTTTCGCCAACCCACAGATTTGATGGAGCGTGGTGGGGTGGAGGATGGCTAATTCTCGTTGGATATCGGCCCGCAACCTCGAGATATAACAATTGAGAAGTGCATTTTGTGAGAGATCAATGACGCGGTTACTGATCTTCTCAAACTCCGCTTGATAAGCCGACACGGTACTTGTTTGTTTGAGGTTGAACAAGGCTACTTGGTGGTTTTCAAAGGAGGATGGACCAAATCGTAGTTCCAAGGCTCGGGTAAATTGGTTCCAATCTCCGAATAGGCGATTGTTATGCAAGTATTTGAACCAACTTAAAGTTTCCCCCTGGAAGTGAAATGACGCGATGGTCACACGTTGTTCAAGTGGGATTTTATAAAAAGTGAAATACTGCCCAGCTTGGAAAATCCAATCCAAAGCAGCAGATCCATTGAATGTGGGTAATTGGATTTTTGGTGGCTCTAAGGTATTGGTAAAGGGTGGCGGTGGTTGAAGTGGTGGGTTTTCGGGGTGCGGCTGGAATGTCTCGATTTGAGGTGGGATCTGGTCTTCGGTGTTTGAGGAGGAGCCGGTTTCATGGGTGAGTTTAAAGAGAGCGGTTACGAGGCTGGCGATGGTCTCGGTTTGTTCGGCTATTTGCTCGGTTTGTTTGGTTAATCGGGCAGCGATGTTGTCGGATTGTCAGGATATGGCGGTTATGAGGGTGTCGATGTGGGATGAAGTGTTGGAGGTGGCAGTCGAGCTGTGCTAAACTCTGCCACATTGTGCAAGGTTTCTTCGATGGGGGAGGTTCCCATCGAGAAGGCATGGCGGTATTATACTCTCAACGAGAGCACCAATGATAGGAAGCCGATTCGAGTGGGCTAGACTCCAAAGAAGGGGGGAAGGAACAAGAACAGTGGATCAATTTTCAAATATCCCATTAATAAACCAAACGTACATATTTATAATGAAAACAATGCAATACTAGTCTACTAACTACCACTTGCCACTACTAGCTAAAGTAATGCAAACTATGTGGAACGTAGTCCACTTCTTCTCCTAGAAAATTGGAACTAACACATGCATGACAAACAAATATAAACTCTTCCAACTTTCGTGATGACCTGGTGGTCCTCTCCTAATTTCACGCTGACTATTTCTCATGTTGACTTCAGTCTTGCAAACGGGCCGGACGTCTTCGGTTTCTGACGGGCCTGGATTGCAAGGATACTCCATTGGACCGGCTTGGTACATTTGGCTACCATAACAGTCATACCTTGAGGACCGGCTCAACTAGCAAATAAAAGCTAGGACTTTAAGCTCCTTCTCACGGGTCGGTTAGTTTGAGTCTCGTTAGGGCACTGGGAATTGTCGTGGTTATTATCTTCAGGGCTCAGGTAGCTGGCCTGGACACCCAGGGTTACCAAAAAATATTAGCAGTCATCGCTTCGACTGTCCATTTTTCTTTAGGAGCATTATAGTTTGATTTGATTGAATAAAACTGGGGTGGAATAGTCTATATCACAAACCATACGATGTAATCTTCACCAAGGTCCATACCCATGACCATGTCAATGAGAGTCTTGTTACTTGCACCGTCGTAGGTTGTATGGTGAAGCATGTTCAAGTACTTGGTTTTCTCATTGTTTTAGAACTCCTTGTACTTCTCCTTAATGGAATCAAGAAAATCCTTTGCGTATTTAGCTCTAGGAATACTATCATGTTTGAGTACTCCCGCTCATAGGTTTTCTTATCTTTTTCAGTAGCATCAGCAGAAGGTTTAGATGCATCAACTTTCATGGCCGAGTCCACTTTCATAATAGTCAAAATCATCATGAGAAATTCAACCCACTGCTTGTTGTTCATTCCATTAATCGTCAAGATGGCAGAGGCTCTGCCATCTAGGATTTGTCTGAAGTTGAATGAGAAACAAGAACAAGAACCATTAAATGCATGTTATAACAAAATCATGCCATTTGTGCTATTTTCTCATTAGTTAATGATTGCAAAAACGCCAAATGATCATCATATACGCAAGAGTTCTCATACAAAACAAAAGAGAGAACTCATCCACATGTAAATTCGATCTATTAAACATTATAACCAAAAGCATTAATTTAGTTTAGAGAGGATAGATAAATTGCAATTCATAACCTTTAATTGATTTTCTTCATGATATTAAGCATCCATTTCAAGTAATTATTATTGATAGGTTTAATTACTTATATGGATCTTAATTTACTTTCGGAGGAAGATACAAGATTTAAAAATACAGATATTTAAATGTTCCTCACTGCCAAACAATTTTAATTTGCTCAATCATACGACATATAATGATTTAAGCATTCATAATTGTTGACCGATAATCATGTCAATTTCACAACATGATTAAAGCTAAGTTGAATTAAAAAACATGAATTTTATTCATTAATTATGTGTATTAGTAATGTAATAAATAGATTGTTGTAATAAGAGCGCAAAGGTACAAAAAATAGCAAAAACCGATCATTTATGCATCCTTTTAGCTGCTGTCAATCAGTTCATCCCTGACAGCAAAAAAGGGGCATGGGGGTTGCTTGCAAGACCTTGTTTCAGGCCTGGTGCTAACAACATGGTAGGTGTGACTCTGGGATTATGTTTGTGATCATTTCAGTCCATATGATTATTCTATCAGCATGGCCACATTTCTTGATGTGCTTCAATCTTAGTACAAGGCAGCTTGGTAATCCTTCATAATTGTGAACTTCAAGTTACTAGGATTGTTCAGGAAACCTCATATGTCATTCGTCATAGCTCGTGTTCTCCATGTATATGAGGAAAGAATAGATTAAAAAAAAACACAGTTAACGTTTGAGATGGATATTTGATATGAATTTATTAACCTCAAAACCACAAACTTTGTCATCAGCTGTATTTTATATATATATTATATACACATTATATTATACTTAAACATGGATATATATATTTTTTTGATTAACCTGGATATCCAACCCACTAAGCGAGCCGACTAGTCCCAGGGCGACCACCTGCTTTGCGGGTATCACAGAGTCACCGCATTTGAACCTCCGTGGCCACAAGGGGATTTTTATTCCTCCTTGGATTTGAACCTGGGACCTCCTAGTACTTTTGACCTTTGGAGCCAAGCTCAAACCAATCAGGCACCACCCTTGTGGTTGATATTTTTTTTCCCCTCTTAGGTAAATGGCTGCCTTATCAATTATGAATTGGAAAGTTTTCAGCTTGATTTGTTACAATGTTTAATTCTTTTCAGGTTTAATTTTATTTGTATCTTACCACTTCAAATTATATTTAGCTTTTCTTTTTTCGAATTTTGTTAAACGTATCCACTTATCAGAAGTTAAATGAGCACTTCGCTCCTGTTAGGGACAGAGCTCGGGTCAAAGGTAGAGATGTTTTTTGATTTTGGTCAACTACTTGTATGATTAATAGCAAGTATTTACAGTTTCTTAAGGCCACATTGGTATGAATTTGGTAATTTTGATGATTCTAGAGCAACAAAAACCCCATGGAGTTCGCAGAAGAAATTGCAAAGGAAGCAGATCAATACAATGGATTTAATTTATTAGTTGCTGATCTTTTGTCCATGGATATGGTTTATGTAACCAATAGACTGAAAGGAGATAACTGCTACATGACTACAGTTTCACCAGGGGTCCACGTTCTATCAAATGCAAGTCTGGACACTCCCTGGCCTAAGGTGCGCAACTACTGTCTACTTGATTACAGTATCATTACTGAATAGTACTAGTTTTTTCCACCTAATAAAAATAGGGATTCTCACAAATAACCAAGAATTATTTTACATAGCAAAATAAGCTGAGCATGTAGCCTATTGATAAGTAAGGGTCCACTCTGACGACTGTTTTGGGAGGGCCTGGGAAGCTGTCTTTGTTTAGCTGCTTTTTGTAACAAAAAGAAAAGGAACTTCTAGTTTTATTTAATTCCCTCTTTGAATATCTGCTTATCTATTCTCTTCTCAGGCTCAAAGATTGGAGCATGGTTTTAGAGATCTTTTGGATCAATATTGTGAAGGTGAAATTCCCATTAATGAGATGGTTGATAAGCTGATGGGAAACACTGTTAAAGATGAAATTAGCATGCTTCCTGAGGTCTACAATCCAGAGTTTGAGTACCAGCTGAGTTCTGTATTTGTTGACACAGTAACTCCGAAGGTAAAAGAAGCGTCATTCCTTGAGTTCACTATTCATGATCTCATGATATTTGACCCTGAACATTACTGATATTCAGGGACGTTATGGTACGCGAAGCACCTCTGCGTTGGCTGTGAAAGCAAGTGATGAAGTATTCTTCTACGAAAAGCATCTGGAAAATGACTCGTGGAAAGAGCAGACAGCAACATACATGATCGAGAAAGATGAGAAGTGATCTCAGAATATTTGATCGTTAAATTCGGACTGCAAAGTTTGCTACATTTACATTTTCCTGTGAGTTGCTTCCCTTATAGCTACTTCCTGTGGAGTTCAACGAATATTGGTATATGCTTCCGTTATAGTTACTTGATACATGTAACAAATGCTAGTTAACTCTATCCGATATATTTCACATACCTTGAAATGATACACTTTTGATAAAAAAAAAATAGCATTTTCTTCATCGCCTTCGTCGCATATTTTATCATTTCATTTGGTATGGAAGCTTAAGTATGTGCCTGGATAAAAATAAGAATAATCAACTTTGAGAATCTAACCTGTACTTAGGATGTATTTGGTTATCTATATGAAAAAGATGGATAAAAAGAGCAACAGTAACAATTAGTTAAGCAATGGGATTTGTAATTTTGTATCCATCTCTTCTTAGTGCTCAATATAAGTAATAAAAGGGATTTTTCGATAATTACAAGTTACATTACATGTCAAGAATCAATCATTAACCTTGGATACAAAAACCTAGACAAAGTTCATTTTCCAGGTACAAAGTTAGTAGCATAGGCCCAAGCGTTGTTGCTTACGGGATCTGCAAGGTGGTCAGCAAGGTTTTCCAATGGACCCTTTCCGGTCACAATGGCTTGTACAAAGAATCCAAACATTGAAAACATAGCGAGTCTGCCATTCTTGATCTCTTTGACCTTCAACTCAGCAAAAGCTTCAGGATCATCAGCAAGTCCCAACGGGTCAAAGCTCCCACCAGGGTAAAGAGGGTCATTCACCTCACCAAGTGGCCCACCAGCAACTCGGTACCCCTCAATTGCACCCATTAGGATTACCTGGGTGGCCCAAATGGCCAAGATGCTTTGTGCATGGACCAAGCTTGGATTACCCAAGTAGTCAAGCCCGCCGTCACTGAATATTTGTGCTCCAGCTTTGAACCAGACTGCCTCCCCAAACTTGACACCATTGCGAGCTAAGAGCTCGGGGAATACACACCCTAGAGCTCCAAGCATAGCCCATCTGCAGTGAATTACCTCAAGCTCACGGTTCTTAGCGAAGGTTTCAGGGTCTGCAGATAGACCAGCAGTATCCCAGCCATAATCACCAGGGAATTCACCAGTGAGGTATGAAGGAGCCTCACCGGAGAATGGACCCAAGTACTTAACTCTGTCTGGGCCGTACCATGGGCTGCTTGATGGCGCAGCTTTTGTGGTGGTTTTCCTCATGGAGACTGTTCCATTACCAGCAATTCCCAATGCTGGGGGAATGGATTTCACCACCCTCCCAAAGAAAGGCGTGGAAGAGGGAGCGATTGTTGAAGCAGCCATAGAAGTCGAAACTAGGAGCACACTAGATGGAAGAAACAAGTGTAGTAGAATCAAAGGCTTATTGTGTTGGTTGCTTGAGTTTCTTAGGCTGCCTTAAAGTGTATATATATATATATACATGTAAGGCACTGGAGAGTCTGATCTATGGAGATATTTATCTCTAATACCATTGGTTGATGGTATTTGATTTGATATCCAGTTGGGATAATAGGTGGATATGTATAAGAAATCTAACTGAAAACATAGACATCAACTGATAAGTTATTTTATATTGAGATAATGAGCTAATAAGCCATTTGGTTGAGTTGGGCAAAGACTAGTGGCTAGAAAGGGATGGTCTTACAGGTGAGAGTCATTGTTGTTGATTCATGACCATGAGCTATATTTAATATCAAGTGGATATAATTCATGGTTGATAGCTTGGGTGGATTGTAGGTATGGAGGGTAGGGACCCTTCTTGTTGATTCCTCACCATGAGAGAGCTTCAGAATTATTAGATGGAATTTGTGTTGCATAAACAAACCAAACCAATCAGACCCAGTATATCTCACCAAGAGGGAGGGTCCACAGGGTAAGATGTACGCAGACCTTACCTCTGTCTCAAGAGATAGAGACGTTGTTTCGGAGAAGATCTCTGGCTTGCGAAAAAGGGTTAAATATTTAGAAATCACAACTACATGCGGATTTGAGGAGCATGAAAACAATAAAGAGGAAAAATCAACCTGAAAATTCCGTAATATCAAAGTTATGTGAGAGCTGCAAGTGATTATTTCAAAATTCATTCAAATCATTTAGTGAACGACTGAACATCTGTTTACGCAATCGGCATTACACACATTTATAGTGTTCTATTCTGTAATCTGTTACCTACATACATTAGCATGATGTTCGTAAGTATTATCCAGCTGCTACCATGCCATGAGCATAGGATTTGATCTAGTAAGCACGGCAATACAGCCGGTAATTCAGAATCAGGATCAGGATCGTGCACATGAGTTTGATCTAGTATAATAGACGCTGTCTCTTTTATCTATTTTAACAATAACCTTATGGTCATGAAGTCCATAGAGACCATTTTTGTCACTATAACCTTATGGTCATGAAGTCCATAGAGACCATTGTTGTAACCAAGTTCTATCTGAAACCTCAGGTTAAGAAACTTCTATTTTCATTTTTGAACCCCCATCCTCATGATCACCTCCATGCGACTTCCTTACCCCAGACATAGCCCCGCCCAAGGACTATTTAGCTCACTGGCCATCTACAAACTGAATAAAGAATCTAACTTTCCGGTGTATTTTCAAGTTTTTACAGGGGTATGCTGTTTTACACCATAGGCATGTTGTTTAGATCATTTAACCAAAGGACCCACGTAGCCAATCTCATCCGGCAAATCTTTTGAACCCGTCTGTTTTTATTTTTGTTAATTCAAGTATTATATGCTTGTTAGTTAGTTATGACAAAGTGCACCGTTCCTAATTATATTTAGCAAACAGAAATAAGGTAAAATGACAACTCAAATCAGATCATCGAAATTCATTTGATATATTATTATTAATTCACAAGCTATATATATTTTCATACATTTATGATCCAATTTCACTTTCCAGGAACAAAGTTTGTGGCATAAGCCCAAGCGTTGTTGCTGACGGGGTCAGCAAGATGGTCAGCGAGGTTCTCCAATGGACCTTTCCCGGTCACAATAGCTTGTACGAAAAACCCAAACATCGAGAACATGGCGAGTCTACCATTCTTGATCTCCTTCACCTTCAGCTCAGCAAAGGCCTCTGGGTCATCTGCAAGTCCCAATGGATCAAAGCTTCCTCCGGGGTAAAGTGGGTCCACCACCTCCCCAAGTGGCCCACCCGCCACTCTGTACCCCTCAATCGCACCCATCAAGATCACTTGTGTAGCCCAAATGGCTAATATGCTTTGTGCATGAACCAAGCTTGGGTTACCCAAGTAGTCAAGTCCTCCTTCACTAAAGATCTGTGCTCCAGCCTTGAACCATACGGCTTCACCGAACTTGACACCATTGCGGGCTAAGAGCTCGGGGAACACGCACCCAAGAGCTCCAAGCATAGCCCATCTGCAGTGGATCACCTCGAGCTCACGGTTCTTAGCAAAGGTTTCAGGGTCCGCAGATAGACCGGCAGTGTCCCAGCCATAGTCACCAGGGAACTCACCGGTCAGGTATGAAGGAGCCTCACCGGAGAATGGACCCAGGTACTTGACTCTGTCTGGACCGTACCATGGGCTGCTAGACGGGGCAGCTTTTCCAGCGGTTTTCCTCATGGAGACCCTTCCATTTCCGGCGACCCCAGGTGCAAACAGAACGGATTTGACCGCCTGTCCCGTGAAAGAGGAGGAGAGGGCCATTGTTGAAGCAGCCATAGGATTTGTAAGCAAAGGTGAAGATGGGTTGGCTGGGTGAGTTCTTTAGAGGGAGAAGCTACATATATATACAAGTTAGAGAGTCTGAGCTGTCTGTGCTCCTATTGGTTGACGATATTTTTGCGGGTCCGGTCCAAGTGGCATGTACAGGTGGAGACTGACAGAGCCTACTGAGATACTTGTAACCAATCAGGTACTGACACATGTGATTTCACCTCATCCAGCACCTGAATTGATTTAAGAAAGACAAAAATGGTAAATGGTATGAGCCAAGAGGGTGGAGTGGGGTTTGAACAATTTGCAACCATGTATATATTGAAGAATCCTTTGTTTCAAGAAACCAATGGCACAAACTCTCATCTTTTGGTTTACATCCAACCCCAAAAGTCAAATGTCTTGGCTCTTATTAAAAGAAAGAAACTTATAAAGATCAAATTTACATATTTGGTTATCTGCAAAGCAGGTGGTCGTCCTGGGATTAGTCGGCTCACATAACGGGTTGGATATCCAGGTTAATAAAAAAAAAAGTGTAACAAATTATATATAATTGAAATGAGGAGCTCATCCCTATACAATAGTCTTGGGAGAGAAAATCTTTACGAGACCTTGTACACTTGAACCCGTAAGTCGGCAAACAATGCATCTGCATATAACGATTTCTTTCTAAGAACTCTGTTATTTTGATGATCCCAAGTTAAGTAAGATGTTGCCCAAAAAGTTGCTTACCCAATCCTTTTGAGCAAACCTGAAAAGGAAGTACCAGTCGAATGATCTAAAACGTCTCCCAATTGAAGTGGAGACCCCACCTTTTCCAAACCAATTCCCATGTTTCCTTCGCGAATTTGCATCCCACGAGACAATGCTCCAAAGTTGCTTGCATTTCATTACAATAGGACAGAGCACCGACTCCAAGTCGATGCCTTGATCCCCCAAAGCCACCGAACTGGAAGACTTCCAAGGAGAACCCGTTAGACGAAGATGTTGATCTTATAAGGAGAGTGTTCCAACGGGTTTCAGAAAGAATGCCGCCTTCATTTAGAGTTTTCTCTTTAATTAACGCCTTCAATATTTTGAGGTCCGTTGTTGTCTTAGAAGTCATCACCACTTGTCCCTACAGTTACGAACACAGCCTTTCGAATTAAAACAATCAGATCAAGTAACTTGTTAATGGTTATTGACAACATACAAAATTGTTTTATGTATTAATATCTTACTTGACGTGTTAAAAATTATTTTATTTCTTTTGGCGAAAGTCGGAGACATGATCGAATGGTGGTGTACAGATTACAAAGACCAAATTATCGTGAAATACCAAATTCGAGAAGCATACTGCTCCATAGCCCGAACAAATTACTTTTAAGAAGCATGTCACAGATTCGTAGGACGAAGAATTCTTCTAGCTTCAAGGGGGATACTCGTGATTAAAACTTTGAGATTTTTATCACAATAAAGTAACGTAAATTTCATAAAATTGAGTTTTATAACGTACAAATCTTATAATAAAAAGTTGGATGATTTCAAATATTTGTGTTTAGAGTTGAAACTGATTTAAGTAATAGTTATTTGTTACCATTTTGATATAAAAACTTCGACATTTATAAGCAACAAAAATACTGCACGGCAGAATTTACAGAATGTGTCAAAAGTTGTCCACTCATTTTGAGAGAAGTTTTTTTTTTTTTTTGATTAACCTGGATATCCAACCCGCTATGCAAGCTGACTAATCCCAGGGCGACCACTTGTTTTGCAGATAGCCCGGAGTCACCACATTTGAACCTCTGTGGCCATAAGGGGAATTTTATTCATCATTGGATTTGAACCTGGGACCTCCAGGTACTTTTGACCTTTGGAGCCAAGCTCAAACCAATCAGACACCACCCTTGTGGTTGAAAGAAAAGAGAAGTTTTTATCGCAAATGCATTAGACAGTTAATTTTTGTAGTTTGACTCACTGTAGAATCTAGATATTATATTTTAGGAAAACCTTTAATTTGTACCTATTAGATTACCCAACTTCGTCGATAAAACTTAGTGGGAATATGGAAGTCAAACATGCAGTGGAAATAACATACATTCTTTCGAAAACCCATACGAAACGGGGTAAGATTGGTTTTAACTCGTCCAACATCAAGTTTTAATGTTGTTTCTGAATCCAATCAGCGAACTTAAAAAGTTGCCTCTACGGTATCCGAACAAATAAACCAAATATCGTTCTTCATCACACGGAAAACAAAGGAGTTGACTTCTTCTCTTGGTGTTGCCATGCACAATTAAATTGGAGAGACAACCGTAAATGAGATGGATGGGAGGGTGGACTTTCTTCTTTAAGGACGTTTAAAAAGTATTGAGTTTTTTACATATCTTTTAAATCGATTCCTCGAGGTCGGTTTCAATTAATATTTTTGAAAATCTTATAGATTATGATTTAAATAAGGTCGATCCTTTTTTCGTGCTATTGACTATGCAATTTAGGCATGAATTTGACACCATGCTTACCTTGAATCGACTGTTGAGTTCTTCCCATGACCAAAACTCGAGCTTTTCACTGTATGTATGTAGTAGTAGTAGATAGAAAATGCACAAATGGTTCATCCATTTCCATCTCGATTTCAGGGTTTCACTCTATATTTGAACGTATTTACCATCGTCACCATTTGCCCCTTGAGTTTATGTTATCATGCACTCATGCTTTTAACCTATTTACTTCACTTATTTCCAATTTGGGGTTTCGCGAATCTCTAAATTGTAACCACTTGGGTTGTGGCGTAATGGTTAAGTCACAGGAGGGATGTAGTGGAAATCTATCTACCCCGGGTTCAAATTCAGCGCTATCAAAGTCCCTATCGCCATGGAGATTCATCTGCGATGACTACAGGTCATTCGTGATCACCCAGGTATTAATCGATACACGCAAGCTGACCCAGAAACTTAAAAAGAGAGTATATATATATATATATCGAAAAATCATGTGAGAAAAAGAGTTAAAGTAAGAAGCGTAAGAAGATATATGGACTCTTAATCACCTTTGATCTTAAACCCACCGATAAATCATGCTTGATACGGGGATTGATCCGGTAAATCTCATCCTAACGTGCATCCAAAAGTAGAGATCATTTCTTACGCTAACTCTCCTTCTCATCGGAACTCAACCATCATATATATAGTGGGATCCCAAACAAAAAATAATCATATAATGAAATAACATACATAATTTCATAATACGAAACAACATATAATTGATGGTTCTTACGGATTTCAACCTTTTAATTTAATTATTCTCCGTTGTCTCTCTAGATATATAGGGGTAGACTAAATGTGCTCTTACATGCTAATATCCTCCTCACACATCAACATCAAAAATATTTTTTTTACATTTTTAATTAATGATTTGATTCGATTTTGATTTATATAGAGATTCAAATAGCACATTTATATATATATATATATATATATATATATATATATAGGGTTGGGTTCACGTGAGACCGAAGATTTTTCATAAGATCCGTAAGACCAATTTATGTTCATTGATCAACTTTATAAGCTAATAATGTAATGGTTTAAAGTTGCACGATGACAATTTTGTGATTATTGAAAAGTCCCGTGGTAATTTTGTAATTATGAATGTTCAGATTGTAGATCTAATCCAAGGGTTGAAAATTGGTCTTACGGGTCTCACGAAAAACTTTTAGTCTCACATGATTCCAAGTCTCTCTCTCTCTCTCTTTCTATATATATAATATGGTTGGGTTGAGTTGTAATAAAATGAAAGTTATAGCAAGAAAGGTAAGAATGAATCTTCATATTTGGATAAATCATAATTAAAGATCAACACCAATCAGATATATTAAGATGTATTGGATCAATTCCAATGAGAAGCACAATTCATAAGATGTGATGAGATTAAAAATCCAGATTCATTCTTACATTTCTTTTTTATTTTTAGAAACAACAATTTTATTAAGAAACCACCGAGGCCAGCAAGATGCTAGCGCTTACAAAAGAGCCGTTAAAGGGCTGGTACACCAAACATTCCAATCAAGAGAATTACAAGACTTCGATCTGAGTCTAATCCAATTAAAAGAAAAGAGCACAATATCCTTGTAAATTRCCATCGGGTTTTTACCGGGTTTATTGAAGACCAACGCATTTCGATTCGTCTAAATCATCCAAATAAACGCCATGAGAATTACTTCCAAGCCCTCCTTAACCTTCTTCCCTTTGAAAGGAAATTGTGCTGCAGAAAAAAATTCCACCAAATTGGTAGCTTGACAAGGAAAACCCGACCACCAATTCTTTACATACGCACTGGTCACCTTTGTAGTCGAACAACCAAACAAGAGATACCCTTCCGTTTCTGTTTGATTTAGGCAACAAGGACAGAGAACTGAGCTCACTTGGACACCTCTAAGGAAAAGATTGTCTAGTAGGAAGTCTAGACTTTGAAAAACGCCAGATAAACATATTCACTTTACCAGGAACTAATTTGTTCCATTTCGAAACACTTCCGTCAGATTGTAAAACCCCTTCATCAATCTTTCCCCGACACGTCTTTACATTTCTTACCTTACCTTTTTTTCTCACACAGTTATTCATTGAAGTTACCAGTATGTCACTTTACTCAATTAAATAGATACCATAAAATTCAATAACTTCACAACTAACTTGAGTAAAGTGAGATGGTGGTACCTTTTAAGGCAGACAACATGCAATTGCAAATGCAAAAGTACTTGTGACCCATGATTCCTTTAATTTTGGTATGAATGTGTATGTATGCCCACACACAACAATATTCATCATTATAATAATAAAAGTATCAGTAGGTCACATGTTCAAATTCAATGAAGAATAAAAATCCTCTTATAACCACGAAAATTCAAATGCGACGACTCTGAACTATCTGCAAAGCAGATGGTCGCCTTCAGATTAGTCGGCTCGCATAACGTGTTAGATATCCAGATTAATAAAAAAAAATAGTATTTTTTAATCATTTTAATAAAAATATGTTACTAAAAACATCAAATTATGTCTGTTTTCTATACATAAAAATCTATGTAACCATATTATTATATATTATAAATTAAAAATTAAAAATTAAAAAAAGAAAAAGAAAAAAGGAAAATGGAAAATAAATTTGGCCTCCAACCACCATTTTACAATCAATCTAAAGCATTAGGTCCAGCACATGCCTTCAAAACGGGGCTCCATATCCACTGAACCAAAAACTTCCTACCTCTTCTACCATTCATATTATAAGTTCGACCCGACCCATCCTTCATCACCTGTCCAATATACCCGCCTCCACCACCCGACCCGTATAACCCTTCACACAAATCCCCAATCTCCGTCGGTGCAGTCGGGTCTTCACCCGCGTACCAAGCGTTCACCAATGGGTTCGACGACAGCTCCGCCAGCTCATGGCCGATCACACTGATCATTCCGTCAACTCCGACGTCGCCATTCGGCGATGCAAGTGAACCCGGCCCGCCACTACCCATGTACCCAGGAACGGCAAACGGGTAAGCGCAGACTTCCGGGCACTGTTTACCCGAATTTCCGACCCATGCGTATGGTAAGGTGTATCCTACTTTCGATGGGAAGGTGAAGTAGTGGAACCCACACACCGCGCGGCAGAAATCCTGTACGGTGACGTCGCCGGAAGTCAGGACCAGGTAAGCCCCATTTTTATGATCGACGGCGAACGGAGCTGATCGGACGGATGAGGCGATGACGTCTTGGATGGTGAGACGAGTGAGGTGGGTTCCATGGGTGTACTTTCGATCGGAATATTCTCCGGCGATGAGGATGTTCCGAGAGATGTTGGCGTTGGTTTGGTCGGTGTAGAGTGACACGGTCTGCCACCAGTCGGAAACCGAGGGGGGTGGGGCGGCACGGCGCTTGGTGGTGGAGATTGATAGAAGGAAGTCTTTAATAAGCAGCTTCTGAGTTGGAAGCCACTTACCATACCAGATGAGATAAATGTTGATCGGAGAAGAAAGGACAGGACCCATGTGGTACCGGAGGTTGACGAGCTCTGATGATCCTTCATATTTCTTGGAAGTAGTAAAGACATTGGGGGGAAGTTTAGGGTTAACAAAGGTATAATCTTTATCATGATGTTTTACATCCAGGGTTTCAGCAAGAAGAGAGGGTATGAGGAAGAAGAAGCAGATGAGTGTGAGGGTGAGGGGTAAAAGAGACATTTTGGTTAGAGATGGAAATGGGTGTAGTGAGGGCCAGAGAGAATGGAGATGGAAGAATATATAAAGAGTAGGAAAGAAATGGGCTGGTGACAGCTGCCAGGTTTTTTGGGAGTGATGCACAGAAGCTGAAATTTTGAAATTGGAATAGGATGGAGGGTGGTAAATGACAAGAATGCCCATGGTATGCTTTTTGCCTTTAATTTTCAACTTGTCTTTGTGGGGTTGTGTGGAATTTGTCCCCTTCTATATTACAATTCTATTACATGTGTTTTGTTGTTTTTCTTAGGATCCAAAACTGTTAATAATTAAATCTATATTTATTAAATTAAGATCAATCATGCATTGAAAACGTTAAAAAAACTAACATTACTGAACTTACTCGATTCTAGTTCAGTTTTGTGCATTGATTGTACTCGATTCGAGTTCCGTTTTGTCCATTGATTGGTTGGAATAGTGTCTTGCACTCCCACCTGCTATAACAATAACCAGTGCAGTTTCTGGTACATAAAACTGAAGAAAGGGTACAGAAACTAGTAATCTAGGTGTTTCTTGAATCTTGTGTTGTTCAATGACCAATCTCAGCCAACTATTTTGAAATTTGAAATGACAGATAGAGAATTAGAAAAGAAACCTAAATCTTACTTCAAAATGAATGTTGTATATTAGAAAACAAGTGAATACAACCGTCAGAAAGAAAAAGAAATCATACATTTCAAAATGGCTGGATTGACTACTACTACTATTACTCGATGGTAATTTATATCATTTAATGTAACCAACTTGACATTTTGTAATAAGAAATAAATCTACTAGTTTTCTTAAGAGCAAATACATCTGGGTTCGTGACAACTTACAGAGATTGTATACCTCCAGCCAAGAAGATGTTTGGTTAAAACATGTTTGGTTGTTTCCACTGTGTCTGAAGAAATAAGCTACAACACTCTTGATCTGCACCACAAACTGGTCGCATTTCACCAACAGAAATAGAATGGAAGACATGAAACTCTATCGATTTAATAATAAATAGCAGGTGAAAACATATAGGTTTTTAATGAATCTGGTATTAGCATTTCTATCAAATTTTGGAAATCATAATGACGGAATGGTGCAATATCAAGGAAAGTAAATCATACTAATTAAACTGTGGTGATCAGTCACACTGTTCACATCAAGAAACCACAGTTATTAACACATTGATTCTGGCCTATTAATATAGAAATGAAAAGATAGAAGATGTGGGCGCTCACTTCATTGGACATTAAGTGGTTTGGATACCTAGCTGTTCCAAAGAATCTGGCCCAACTAGGAATATCCGCCTTATGGTTTTGTATCGAAAAACAACAACTCCCTTATATGCAGTTCTTGGTATACCATCCTGCATGATGTAAGAAGCATGAGTTACTCGTCGAAAAGCTTATTTACAACAATGCCAGAATATGAACCAAGCTTAAGCAATAGAGTACAGGAGTAGTGTCACACTTTCACAAGCCGGGGGTTTTCATGGAAACAGCCGTTTTACTCTTTGGAGTAGAGTCACGTCTGTGTGCATCTTACCTCCCCAGACCCCACCTCCAGATGGGATATATTTGGTTCGTTTGGTTTTATAGAACAAGTTCACGAACATGGAACTGTGATATACCTTCCATTCTTCAAAAATGCCAAATTGGCGTGCAATGTCTTCAAAATCTAGTTGATCTCTGTATTGTATACGCACGTCTCCATCTACATTATTGGCCTTCAGAACAAGATCCGTTCCATAAAGAGGCTTTGCAGCTTTCACAAGGGCTGCAAAGTGCTTCACAAATTTATCCTACAGAGAAAGAAGCCGAAGATTTACAATGAATATAGTATCTCTTTCTTATACTATGACCTTCTCAAGTGAATTTCTATTATGAAATTCATACCTCTCTCAGGTAGCTCAAGTTCATTGATTTCCAATCAACCTTTTTACAGAAAAAAGAACATATTGATTATTATGGCATAGATAAAGTCAAAGATACCAGCAGTAGCAACCTAGATATAGTAAGACAAACTTTTACATACCGGGACATTATTCAGCCTTATAGGTTTAAGGTATTGGTGGAAGAACTGGCCAAAACTAGAACCCTGGAAAAAAATAGATAAATGCCATAAAATGCGAGAAAAGAGAAATAATGAATCCGCTGCAAAGTAATACAATAAGCTTTTTGTAGTTGTCAAGTGATATCACATATAAAAATGATGACATATAATTTCTTCACAAGACCCCATAAGTGGTATAAGGGGTTAACTCCTTTGTGACCAGAAGGTTATGGGATTGAGAAATGCAAAAAAAATCTAAATGCTTAGACTTCCCTTAAAATGCAAAAGTATCCTTGATGACATTTAATTAATATTATGACAATTCCATTTGCAATCACATATAATTAATGTTATGCTTTCTGAAATAACCCCTAAAGGAAAAAGAAAAAACCCAAAAAGAGAATAAAGAAGACATGAATAACAATTTTCTTATGCTGAAATGAAGCTGCCTGTCGTTTTGAGAAATTCTTTAAGATGACATAAGAATGTTTCCATCACTACCAAGGTATTTTCGGGACAACTCTCGCATCTCAAGCCTACAAACTTTGGCTGTCACTAAAATTTGGGCTCTATGACGTAATTAATTTGTGAGCTAATTTTTTAAAAGAAAAACAAACTTCAAAGGCTGCAACTTATTGTGTAAATATTAGAATCTTCAACCGATTTTAGCGTGTAAAAGAACCACGCTCCCTTAGTATGCTGTTCAAGCACAACAAGGAATGTTACTGGTAATGGCAATGGAATTAGTCAGAGGTTGTGAGAGTAAGTTGCAGACCATCCATGCTTTGTGTATGCTAAAAAATCATTCGTCATTATAAGAACACATGGCAACAAAGTTCCAAGATTTCCAACCACCAATGACTCGATGAAATCTCTTCTAATCTGAAGCAATAACGTCGAAGAGGATGATTTGGGAAATGATGAATACAGGTGTGTACCGAACTGCCGCACAAAGTTTCAAGTTTCAGTTGTGCTCAAGATAAAATAAGAAGTCGATAAGGGATACCTACATGTTCACCAAAGTTGTATGTCCTGCAGACTTCTGGACGAATAAACTGTCGCCCTTCATGATTTTCTTTTAGTCTTAGCCAGTCATCCCAGTAAGTAATACATAGTCAAAGAAAATTTTCTCTCTGACATGAAATAAACCATAAACCTAGGCATGAAGATTGAACCACAAAATACAAATGAGAATAAAAGGATATGCCTTTGGCCACTTTGGAGATAGCTCATCCCATGTAGGTTTAGATAGCATCCATCCAAGACCAGGGAAAAAATCTGAGCGATACAACGTATCTGCAAGATTGACAAAAATACAGCAGCATTCATGAATGACGGGCACATGACTAGCATTGAACCGAACACACCGAGATGAGATAGGCTTGGATCCACATTTCATGTTATAGCAAGCATCATTAGGCTTTAAAAATATGGAACAACAATAAGGGATTTTAATTGCATTATAGACAGAGATGGACCTAGAACTTTTTTCAAGTGATGGCACCATATGACCATAAGAAACAAATATAAGGATATTTTTCACAAAATCAACATTGGTCTGTTGGTTAGTTCATTGTTTTTCATATGTGACGTCCTGTGTTCAATTCTTTTATTGCAAAAAAAATTCAAAAACATAATAGATTTGAAATTAAAAGCTAAAAACTAAGAAAATGACACTAACAGGATTCGAACTCGGGTCTGGGGTGGAAGAAAAGCCTTGCAAACCAACTCTACCAAGTGAAACTTGTGTCCTCGTAGTTTCAAAATATATACGGTGGCAGACAACAAATTGATACAGTGGCACTTTTCACGACCCTATAATTTTTTACACTATGACGGAGGAATGAAGTGATGGTCCGTGCCACCACATTAACCACCTGGGTCTGTCCCTGATTATAGATCCAACGAAATTATAATAACCCTAAAGAACACTGAACAGCATTAATTTTAAGAGTCAAAAGCAACCAAAAACTTCAGACGTACTAGGTATGGTAGAAAGAAGAAAGGTCCATAAGTAGTGACAACTACAGACTTACAAGGATCATGCACAAATTGCTTTTGCCCATTGTCATTCCATGAGGATATAGCCATGATGGACCTATCATGAGAGAAAGAAGTTCCTAATATTAAAAAAGAATTTTTGAATAATGAAAGATAAAATAAATCATTTTAAGTTCATGCCAGAGACTTACTTATCTTTGTCAAGGAGGTCTGCTCCAGCCTCAAAAAAATAAAAAAAGTCAGGAGCAATCTCCATGTCATCTGCATCCCATTAGGATCTATATTCTCAGCACGACTTTTAAGAATTCCAGAACAAATCAAGAAAAATGTTCTACATTAAAAAATAGTGTATCTATACCTTCAAGTATGATGACTCGCTTAAAATTATGTTTGAAAAACAATTGATCCAATGCCCACTTGTAGTGACCTGAAAATGAGGTAGTTAAATAATGAGGTGGAAGTTTAACCCCTGCAAATATGGAAATGGGATTGAGGTAAGAAAATTAGTCTAATGTATTGCTTACGTGCAATCTTGTAATATGCAATTAACTCTCCAGGCCTTTCAGTATGCACAGGTTCGTAATCCAAGTGCTGCAACAAATTTGAGTTATTCAACACAGCTTCATTTGACCTTGTAAGAATAGTGCTTAACTTGAAGTAACAATAACGTTGTCACAAGAATAAATATTTATTAAGCACAATCATATGTTGAAAATCAAGAGCAAATGAGCAAGGTCCCTGCATGGCTGCATGCAGTAGATTGTGGGAAGGGATGATGGTAGAGAACTAGTCAAGTTATGGAAAAATAACAAGGGAGTATTCAGGACTTCAAGCCTGCACAACTTCCTTATGCAATGTATGTTCTTGTAAATTTCGTGCCTTGGAAGAAACTTAAACAACTGTTCTGGAATGTGCCATAAGCTCAATATATGGGTGTAAGGTGTGAATACAAGATTTCACTCAGGTTCTTCGCACCTTTACAATATTATGAAGTGATCTCATATCAGAACAATAGGAACAAAAAACCTTTCACCCCAGAATAATTTGGAATAGACTAACAAAGACCATCAGCAACAAAGGGAAGGGCACACTTGCAACAGATTTGATGTCTGTCTTATCCATATTAAATTTTTCAACAGTGAGGGTAGGTAATCTAGGGTAAATCCAAGATCAGCAGGATGCCATTGAGTGTAAGTCAGGCTTTCAGCAGTTATGAAGTATCAGAAGTTGGAACCACAGTGCATTATAACTTGTATCAAGTCAAGGTATTAAACATAATCTTTTTGGAGATGGCAATTATTTTTTATTAAGTGGCGATAGTGGAGAGGACATGGACTAACATCGTAAACTCCATGAAACATCAAACAACGAGATTTGGTATCATTAGAAGTGGAGTATCTAGAAGGGCCTAATATGATTCTTATTTACTTAAAGGTCACCTTTCATTTTCCTTGGAGCATATCCTATCAGAAACTCGTTAAAGAAACACAGAGTTCTCAGCTAGGAGTATTTTGCTGTATGTTGGTTATCTTCTTGTTTAATTAATTGCCAAGAACAAAAGGCAGACCAAGTTGACATATATTGTAGTTATGATATCATATCATCACTCAAGCAGCAAAGTAATGACAAGCATCTACCTGCATGTAGGTCAACTCACTGTAACTCAAAGCCTTTGCTCTAACATCAGAATTTGACCCATCCTGAAAAATATTATCATTTAGAGGGGGTCAGCTGGAGGCACGCACTTTAGCCAGTATATTAGCAATTATCATACAAGCACGAGAATCTGAACGTCTTAAACTACGGCTGGATACAATATACCTGGGATACAAAAACTGGAAACTTTGATGCAACAGAACCATGATATCTGAAAATCGTCAAGAGTTGGGCCATAATCAGTCAACAGATGAACAATTGGCTTGCAAGATTAATAATAGAATATTCTAGAAGTAGAAAAACATACTTTAGGATAGACTTAATAGTCCTTTCCAGATAGTCAGCACGATTGCAAGCCATTATAACAACAGCTGCCACTGGCTCCTAGAAATGAAGTAGAAGGTTCATTCACTATGTAAGAGAGATGATCTTTCAACAGGGAAGAAAGCCAGATTTTAGTATTCTTGTCCTAACCTGAACTTGTTGAAACAAGCCTTTGACACCTTTCCCTGCAAATTGATAAGATAAAGGTCAGACTCATATAGCTTCTTTTATGCAGGTACACAACCATATGTGTGTGTGCCAGCAGATTCTTGCATAGAGTGAAAGAGAACAACTAAACGGCCCGGCAATATGCATGGTGGAAGAATTCTGCATTCTCTACATATTCAACTCGTTTCTATGCATTCTTTAACAAGTCAGGAATATATCTTCAGACATAACTGCAAAGAGGCATGGCTCTGCGATGAATTTTGAGCTTTTATTTAAGGCAGTCACTTTTTTTTGCTAGTTTCATTTTTAACATATTTAAAATCAGCCATGTGTTGCAGATAACTTAAACAGCAAATAAGATCATGAAGCAAATTTAGATAGGCTTAAAATGTATCTTATGCTCTCTGGTGTTGGTATGTATTCTTAGAGTGGACACAACCAGAAAAAATGAAGAAAGATGCATTGTGTTATTCAGAGAAGAGAACCAAATAAATAAATTGAAAAAGGAGACAATTGAGGGTGTGAACTTACTTTCAAGATTTTGAACAAGTGTCCTCAATTGTTCACACTCCTCTTCTTGGCGTTTCGCTTTTTCTGAAACAGCAGTAGCAAATGAAGAAGGCTGGATATGAATTTTTCTTTTCTTTTCCAGTGAAAAAGGAACACAAGAATTGCAATTAAATAACTACTGTATGTAATAATGTCACATTAATATTTGTTATCACTTATAAAGGAAAGTAATGCAAACGTATTAGGTCCCACTTAGCCAATTAAAAAAGTCAGACGGTAATGACAATGATTTGCAAGGGAAGTGAAGCAACACAATATAAGGATGCCCATATAAAAAGTTTCCGCTCTAGTTTTCCTCCTAACAAAGAGTACACCATCCACTCCTAATAAATTAGCAAAACGGATTTTGATGTTTCTCTTAACGGCAAAAACTGGCACATTCATTGATAATAGAAATTGATTACAACTGTTACAGTTGTTCCAACAAATAGTTGGATTTAACCCGGGCAAAATTTTGATCCTCGTTACTCACAAACTAACTCTACCTGGTAACTACCATCTAATCTTGTGGCCAAATATTGAAGGTCCACTTAGTGTTCATCACTTTGCAATCACATTTTAAGAACTAAACACTTTTCTTAACCCCCTTTTTGTTTGAGGTTGATGATTTTTCACTCGTTTCATTGTCTAAAATCAAGTAGGGTTTCTAGAAACGTAAAATTCGCTTACTATGAATGGAGCCAACTACCTTCACGCATTTTGAACATCAGCAGAACTGCGGAATAGAAAGGTTTATATGATCGCAGGAACAGATGTTTGTTTGCTACACACTAATGCGGCCTTTGAATAAACAATTCAACTGGTGGTATTCTTGGAGCACTTTTAGATATCGTTGATAGGGGTAGCTTTAAAGAACAAGAATAATTTGGTATTCTTGGAGCACTTTTAGATATCATTGACAAGGGTAGCTTTAAAGAACAAGAATAATTTTTCCTGTTGTTAAGAAAAGGTGAAAAACTTGATATAGGGCCTTCTGACAAAGACAAGAGAATAATTTAAATATGGAGCCGAACAACAAGAATAAACTAAGGGGGCATTTGTTTTTTAAGAGGTGCTGAAGTATATAAAGTCTTATTTCACTTATGATTGCTAAGAGGTGGTGTTAAAGTCTGAAATCTGAATCAATAAGACCGTTTGTTTTTGTAAACTGATAAATGTCTGAATTTGTTTAAATTGTCTATTTTACCCATTAGAAAATTATAGTGTTGAATTTATAGATAAGTTACACAATTTCACATATTTATTCATCATCATTACGAAATTTACATTTAAATTATATAATTAGCATTCACATAAACGGAAGTATGTCATTGTCGGTATTTAACACATTTAAACCCTTTTAAAATACATCAATTGAGAGAGGTGAGGATCGATTTAGTAAGGATCGATTAAGGTTAATCGATTGAGAAACACCATTGTCGATTGTGTGGAGAACAATAAGAGGCAAATAAGAGGTTGGTTTACCTCTTACCAGATAAGAGGACAATTAGACATAAGTGCCTCTGAAAATTTGGAAAAAAACAAACAGTCGGAATGGCCATACCTCTTAACAGATCAGACATAAGAGCTCTCTTTTTTAAACAAACAAGGCCTAAGACTCTTTTTCAAAATGCCACATCCAAGCTTCACATATTAGCTTAAATATTATTATGTGACCATATGAAACAATAAATCCTTAATCCCCTATTCTTTGAAGGATGTACATTTGTCAATATTACGATAAGGAAACTAAACTTTGTTGATTACACTTAAGAAAAAACAATTAAAATATAAAGCTAATAAAGCAATTAAAAATATTTGTCTTGCATGATTTGTTTTGTTAACCCTATGCCCTAAGTTCATAAATCAAGAACAACAGAAACAAGAAGTGAGAAAACAACTATATTAAATGTGCAACAGGATTACCACCATAATTATCTGATCAATCAGTAACCGCATCAGGAGAGATGCCTTACCTTCCAAAGCCACAACCTTTTCCTCCTGCATGCTTATCTGATCAATCAGTAACCGCATCTGGCTCGTGCAATGATTTTCCCCTTCCACCTGTTATAATCCAGTAGTCCACTAAATGCTTATGGAGGAATTTATTACACAGCTAAGAGAATACATTGGATTAGATTACAAGACGATGGAAATGAAACATTTTACAAACATTTAATATTCCATTATTACTATTAAAATATTCCCTCCATGGCAAAAAGATAGTTCTTTAACAAGTTTTTTTGTCCAAAGAAATCTTGTATCAACATTAACATTAATGCAAAAAAATGATTGTTTTAAACGGGTAACATAGGAAACATAGTTACTTCCCCCAGGAGTTTCTACAATTACATTCAATATCGGTAAAATCATCCAAAATTCCTTCCAATAGAAGTGGATTCCTTTTTGAGACAAAGGTAGCACTACCATTGCACTTACGTAGCACTGACAATGCCACCTATCCTCTTGTTTGGTCAAACAATGGAAAATAATCCATTAGGTAATCAATGATAAATATCTATATTTATTATAGATGTTATTAAAGTTTTTTAACGATAAGACCTATCATCGCCTTTTGCATGTCCTCGGAAATTTATACTAGGGGTAAATTCTCCCAATTTGTGGCCTACCATAAGATCCATACTCATGAAAGAGATCCGATGTAACCAAAGTGCCCAGTGTTACATGCCTTCCAAACACAGAAAGAAGCATGATGCATTAACATTACCAATCATAGCATCCTAATGTTGAATGTGCAGTCAAATTCAAGTTGAAACCAGCACACTACTTTGTGCATTTACTTTGGAAGAACTTGTTTAATTTGGTTATGACAGTTGACAATTGAGGATGACAGTGCATTACCTCTTCTTCCTCATGTCTATTGTACTTTAGAAAGACAGAGCTTCTTCATGCTTTGTGCATATCAGAACTCAAAACATGATAATAATAAAATCCTAGTAACACCCCTCACAGGAAGCAAATTGCTAAACCATAATAATTTATAGTTATTCTGTCTTATCCTCTTCTTCCTCCTGTCTTAGAAAGGCAGTAGTTCTTAATGCTTTGTACATACCAAATTCAAAAATCTCATTAATAAAATCCTATATAACGCTCCCTTGATGGAAGCAAATTGCTAAACCATGACATTCCATGTTCTGTTTATGTTTCCTGCAACCAAGATTACGCATGTTTGTGATTATCGATCCTAGAACCTAATTCCTACACAAGCCCACTAAGTAAGACTCGTAGCACAAGTTTACACACTAAAATAATGTTAAATGGAGTTAATAATAAGCAATTTCCAACTATTGTTGTCAGCACTCGGCATAAAACAGAAAAGAAAGTGGAGTCGAGAAAGTCAGATAGGCTATAGCATCCTAAAACCATAAAGCAGTTTATACAGCCAGTACTAGTAGCAAAATAGAATTAAATAGACCATGCAAGGTGAAACAGTATACAATCTACTTACCGCAGCTGCAACTTTGTCGGCATACTCAGACTGTGCCTTAAACAGCCTCACCTGATGTTGTATATAAAACATAATAAGTTTAATAAGTAAAGAAAACTTGTGACATGTAATTATTCGTCCTGACATTCCAGTGCCATCCATGGCGATTGCAAATTAAAGAATCAAAATGCGTTATAGGTTCTACCCTTATTAAGTGTTGAATCACTTAATAATATAAAATAGAGTTGTTCCCTTTGGGTTTTCTACCATTATATCAAATAAAGTTGTTCCCTTTGGATTTTCTTGATGCTTGCAGGATTTCTAGACCATTAAGCATCACAAATTTATGAAATATAAAATAGAAACGCAGTAAGGACCAGCTACACATGTAATGGAGGAAGTTAATTCATGGATTTCAGATATTTGGAAATTCAATAACTTTAAGTTATAATGCAGCAGAACTCTAAATACAAATCGAAATAATATATATAACGAATTCAAAAATGCAAGTAATGGCTGTATTTAACCTGGGTATAGATGAATGCGATTGCAGCAAGAAGAAAAAAAAATCTGAGGCCACCAGACCATCTCCACATCCTTCTATGTTGTCTTTGTGATTTTTAGATCAAAAGCTTCAGAACAGCATATGAACTGAAAGCCTCGATCTCTCTCTTTAAATCGAAAAATCGCTACTTTCTGAATCTGAATCCTCTGTTCTTCTGCTTCTTCAGCTCAATCTGAATCGGATCATAACAATCTTCTTGAAATAACTTCCCAACTGAATTGTCAACCTTGTAGTCAACCGGTTCGTCTATAACTTTTACTAACTCAGGGTTATGTCTGAACGGATCCCGAGTGCTTAACAATCCCTGGTTATTTTCACCACTACTCGGGCATTTGTTAGCTTGAATCCTTGATAAAGTTGGGGACTTTCTCTAAACCCTAATTGTTAGAATGTTGATGGTCGTTGATTCATCTGATGCATACATTTCTGCTGGATTCCATTTGAATCCTTTGATTTATATTTTTAGGGAGTAAATTACAGATTTAGTCCCTGTGGTTAAATGAAAATTACAAGTTGGTCCCTGATTTGGAAAATAATTTAAGACGACCCCATTAAAATAACATATTACTTTCATAAATTTTTTTATTATAGTATTTTACTTTCTTTTCTTTGTTACAGTATAACATCACTTGTTTATTTTTTGGCATTCCAAACTACACCATGAAATCTACGATAAACGAATGATCCTTTGTGAACATTTTTCTATTCTTGAAATAGCGATCTTTTGATTAACATGTTTAATTTATCACATGATAATTTTTGGTTAATATATTTGAAAGTACAATGTTGTAATAGAAAATGTCAAATCAACAATATGTTACGCGTAAACAATGACAATACATAGAGATATGATAACTTGTGTCATGTCATCTTAATTCAAATCAAAAGTTACTCATTGCTATGACGACATTAATAAAAATAAAGTTAAAAGTATGTTGTTATGATAGAGAAAAATGAAAGTACAATACTACAAAAATGTCAAATCATCATAGATTTTTTTGCAGTAAGTTCTTATCAAAATGCACCTTCAACTGAGGCATTTGAGTATGAACAAACATCATAAACAATCGTCCCTCATTGTTTGCTTCTTTAATCAATATGAAGGAAAACTGTTGTCTGGTGTATGGATAACTATACCCTCAAAAGGCTATAATAACAAGTAAATCATGCAAGTATACATGGCTTACAAGTATCGTCTAAAGCAAGTAATAATGGTAAATAATAGCAAATATCATTCCAGGGATATTTATTATGCAAATAAGGTCACAAAAGTTAATTTTAAATTGAGATTTCATAAGAAGAAGAAAAAAGGTTTTTGGAAGCAATAAAGTTTTAGAGGGAAAATATATTTGCAAGAGTTGGTAACTAAATACTGAAATGAAACAATAATTAAAAGATAGTATGGATGCAAGATCAGGTTGGATTTCAGCAACAAAGTGTGATGAATATTTCTCTATAAATATCTCTTTACAACACTACTGGATTGAATGGCCTTCAAATGAAGTACATATTAGATCATATGTTGGAAGTGCACTTGGTGATATATCAATCTCAAACTATTACATATTCTGCCTTTCTTTCCATATAGTTTTGCAACTTATAAGATTACGGCGACTATTTATCATCTCTATAACACACTTAGTAAAAATATTTGTGTTGTCTTAATTTTAAGTCCAACTCATCTGAATAAAATAACATGTGTCAATTTGTCAAAGATTATCAGATTAAATATTGATATTACTTGTGAATAGTGAAATAAATTGTTATTAACAAGCAATCATCAACTAACACTTGGCGTAACATCACAACCTTCACTTATACCCATACTAAGGTATTTAGCCTAGCATGACTGAATGTAAGTGATTAAAAATAAATGACATAAATAGAAATGACTGAATGTAAATGACGTAAAAGTAAATTATGCACGAAAAATAAAGAGAAAGCTGGAAAGGTTGCTGTAGCAACTGACAGTGATGAATAACACTTAAAGGTACTTGCAAAATGATATAAAAATGTAACAAGGACCCAAAGCTTAGATGAAGCTTTGCTCCTGATGACAAAGTGACATTGTTTCAGCTGTTACTATTACACAAAAGACTACCCCCTTTTATATATATATATATATGTTATTCTACACCTTTTGCCATTCCTACATCCTATACAACCCTCATCTCAACCATTCAATTTTTAATCAATTAATTGTTTCCTAATATAAAGTATTATTCATAATTAATAAACTCTATTCATATTCCATAAATATTCAAATCATAATAAATGAACTCCAAACATTTCTATAAATATCTCAATTAATTGGGTTGCAAAGGTTATACAAATGCACAAGGTTGTAAAAGAAATATACCCTATATATATATATATATATATATACATACATACATGCATACTAGCAAGAGATGAATCAAAAGTACTAGTGGGTAATATTCATTTGTTAATAACCTAATAGAAAAGGTGTCTTAGTACAAAAGATGTTTTAGTACAAAAGGTTAAAGTATATTTGCAGTGACATCTTCCATCTAAATCGTCTGCTATCAGTACTAGAAGATGCTTTTATTAAAAACTTGACTTTTCAAATTATTCAACGGGATTGAGCCAGTTGTGCCAATATCTAGTGTCTAGTGCCGCAACAACGTATATACCTGCTACAACAATGCTTATGTCAGCATTTTGTTCACCAAATTCATAAAAACAGTACCATTCCCGCATCCTAGCTCCAATGAATGTGAAACTACAAAATAAGACATAAATGACTCAATATAGAATTGAGAAATGTGTAAAATGAAATGAAATAAAGTTATAATTAAGAGCTAAAGTGTATGCTTTTGCACACTTATCACTGTGTCATAGTTATCTTATTTTGCAGTTGAGTTGACAAGCCTGCAAGTTAGAAAATAATTGTTACATGGTGAGAAGAGGTTGTACATGATTTTAGAGTGTTGCCTGATGCTATAACATATGTGGATATTGAATTTTTATTTTCTCCTCCAGTTATATCTACAATTTAGAGGTAATATTTTGCTATATTTATATTGTTAACTATTTTATGTTATTAGATAAATATTATCTTTGTGATGTTGCGTTATACTAATACTCGATGATTTATGGTACAATAATGTACTACTAAATATTGGCTTGGAGGTTTTCGTTGCAGACATTCAATGAACAAATATGAACAATTTAATCATTCTCGTGCAAAACTTAGAAATGTCATCAAACGTGCTTACGGTATCTTCAAAGCATGCTTTTCAGTCTTGAAGGTAACGACCCTCTTTTAATTTGAGCTTCAAAGGAATGTTGTTATTGCATGTTTTGCAGTTTACAAATTCACATAGAAGGAGAGTTTAAACGATGAGTTAGTTTCTGAATATGATCAAACCAATAATCAAGGGGATGATGATAATGATGATGATGATGACGAGGTTGAAGAGGTCAATTGCATGGGAATACCGCTAACCAAACATATACAACTAGTTTAAGAGAAGAAATCGTAGTACGATTAATGTAAAACGAAGATTGATTGCTTTTCTTTGGAATGAATTTGGTCTAGCGAGTCTTAGATTAATATTTCAACTTCTTTTGATGGTCGTCGTGATCTCTTGGGTAGACGGCTATCTGCTCTACCGATCTTTTTTTTAGTTATTGAGTAATTTCGTTTTTTGAGATTTACAAAATACTGGACTATTGCAATAATACGGTTGTTTCATATGTATGCATATTATTGGTATTCTCATGAAATTGTTGGACCCAGGGGCGTATTTAGGTATTGGCTAGGCAGGTCGATCTCATGTCAACGCCAAATTGTTAGACCCAGGGGCGTATTTTGGTTGGAAGTATCGAGAGATGAGTAACAGAAATGAAAATGAAAATGAAAAATATGGTTTAGTTTGACATAATATAAGGAGTAATATGTTTGAGATTGCTTATTTAAAACAACTTATGCTTCTTTGTAAAAGTGCTTATTAACTTATGTGGTATCAAACCAGAATTTTTTAAAAAGTGTTTGGATTAGCTTATAGCGATACCAAAAAACAATTAGATGATAAGTTGTTTTTTAGTGTTTGGCAAATTTTGCTTATATATGTAAAATGACAAAAAAAAAAAAACAATCTTCTATATTATTGACTTACGAGAGTGTTTGAGATTGGTTATTAACTCATTTGATTTTTTAACATGTAAAAATTTATTTTTCATCATTTATAATAATATCTTTAACAAAAATTTATATCAATAAGATTAATAATTAACAAACATTAATAAAACATGGTTAAAATGGTAAATTGGTAATAAGCAGTTTTTCATAAGTCAAGAAAGATTAACTTATCAAAAACTGCTTATTACCGGTTTGACATAAGTATAAACAGTTTTATTTTTACTCATCTGAACACGAACATTTAACTTATAACCGTGCCAAACCGAAATAAGTGAAAACACCTAAAATGAGCATTTTCAACCCCAGAACTCTTAGGATGCGTTTGGTTTGACAGAATAAAACGGATTTAAAAGGATTTAAATTTAAAATCCATTATAATCCCATGATTGATTTGCTAACTGATCAGGATTTGAAATCCCGTGTACTTTTTAAAATCCCGTAAACAAGGGATTTTGAAATCCTTAGTAAATGGGCTGGATTTAAAATCCAAATCCGGGCGACATCTCCTCTTCGACGCTTCAATCTTCATGCCCTAGCCTTCTCGTCACTTTCCCCTTGCTCTCGCCGGTCTCCTCCTTCAATCTTCATATACCACCAAACTGGCTCAACCCGGCATCCACTTCTCTGTGCGCTCTCTCCAGTCTCCATCCTTGCAATCGCTTCTTCAAATCGAACCTCTTCTCCAGATTGGAATCAAAGGTGAGTTCTATCGTTCTTCTCCATATTCAAATCGATTTTTCAAGTCGTTTTTTTTCTTCTCCATATTAGAACGATTCTTCTCGTTTTTCTTCTAGTTTTTCTTCAAATGAAACGAGTTCTACCGTTTTTCTTCTCGTTTTTTTTCTTCAAATCATTCTGCGCTTTTATTGATTAGGGTTAGGGTTATTCTCAGTTCTCAATTAGGGTTCTTCTAGGTTAGGGTTGCTTGTTTTTGTTTAATTAACCAACATAGATTAGGGTTCTTCTCAATTAACGTTGTTTTTCTCCAAATTGCTTGGTTGAAAAGCTTGATTGGAAAGCTTGAAAGCTTGAAAATGGCTGGAAATATAGAACTTGTCATGGCTTGTAGATGAATGATGAATGTTTCATATCATTATACTTGATATTTCAGAATTGCAGTTTGCTCCTTTTTGGTTACGTCCATTTGGAAACTGGAATATTGAATATTGATGATGAGTGACTGAATGTTGTTTATTACTTGATTTGTTTTTGCTGCTGCCTTTTGCTAAAATTAAACTAAATCTTCCAGAGAGGCTATAACTTGTGGCTAACTCAAACAAATAACTCCCAGTAATAGATACCCCATTGCTTATGTGAGAGTGTTTCTGATGTAAGGCTTCGATGTAGGATTCAAGGTATCTGCACAGTCGAATTACACAAAATATTAAGTATTATTTTGAAAACGGGTACATTTTATTATTTTTGTTGTATGAATGTTCCTAGAAATGCATAATCTTTTTAGGGTTTTGAAAGAAATTTTTGAAAACAAACATTCATAGTTGTTAAAAGTGCACCTAGGCTCTGAGGCTCACAAGGCTCAAGGTCTTGGGCTTTTTTGAAGTCGAGGCTAGGCGTATTTACGAGACTCACTAAGGGCCTGTGCCTTGTGTTCCACTGGGCGTAAGGCGTGCCTCATAAAGAGTTATTAGATACCAAGTCAAACCCCAATATTGAATAAGTTTTCTCATCATCTTATCTCCTAGACTTCTTAAAAGAAGAGTTATTAAGTAGATGACATAAGTCAAACCCTAATATTAAATACCCAGTTCTTATAAATTAAAGCCTCTTTCTCTGTAAATACCCAAACCTTGAAACTTTTCCCTCATGGCTCACATTTTAAACCCTTCTCCCTTTTGCCTCTATCCAAGTACTGTTGGTTGCCGCACTCTAGTATTTGCTGCATATTTGAGTTGTGTGTGTATATATTGTTTTTATAAGATGCACCTCACATTTCTGAGGCCCGCTCGTCACGCTTGCGACTCACGCCTAGGCCCCGGGATCCCTTTGTGTTTAAGTGCGCCTTGAGCCTTTAACAACTTTGCATACATTTTGCCTTGCCAAGTCAAAGACACACTTGTGAGGCATGGGTTTTTGAAGTGGTTTAGACTTGCACCAGATAACCTAAAGGTCCTAAAGTTAGTACCCAACACTTATGTTTCGCCAAATTAATTTCTAGGGACACATCATTTATCATTAGCCAAGATTGATTGCCGCATGGCAAAACATGAAACTAAAAGCCGCTTATTTAATTTATTTCATTTCTCATCTTCATTTGTGGGTGATAGAACAACATTTTTCTCCACAGGTTTGACACCCATTTTTCCAGGTTGTCACTAGCAGTAGTGATATAAAAAGACACTGTCAAATAGTTTACTATGAAGATTCTGCTGATTATTTCTAGCTTTAATCACATCTTAACTCACAAGTACAAGAACTTAGAAAGTACTGATTCTGACCAAGACTTTCTCCTTACTTTTCATACAAGTACGACTTTATAATTCTGATCCTAAGGTACATGCATAGTTTTCATAATAGAAATAGTTAGCCAAAGGCTTTGTGTGCTATAGAGTTTTTATAACATGCATATCACATTTGTAAAACATAATTTGTAATGCAGTAAACATTAAATTAAACTGTTACATGTCATGAAATTGTTTTCATAGTTAAAAACCCTAATGGTATTAAAACGTCAAATTACAGAAATTCGTTGCATATTTGACATCTCACGTTGATAAACTTGAGCGCCACCAAAAAAGAAAAACCATGAATAAGTTGATGGACTTTGGGAAGAAAGCCATGTTTTACGTTAGGGTTTTATCGGGCTATGAAGAACGTCGTATCAGATCCCAGCGATTACAGCTCGAAAAGCGTATTATTGAGGTAAGCCGTCTTCTCGATTTTGCTCGTATCCTTGATTTTTGTGAAGTTTCAGAAACTTGAATTTTTTCATTGTTGGTTTACTATTTAATTTTCAATTATTCACCTGTTGGGATGAAGGTAAACTGTTTGAGGTATGAGGGTTTGTATGGGTGACATGTATTACGTATTTTTAGAAGCTACAAGTTTGAAGATCAAATGCTCATGTTTAACCTCTTATTTTCTGCCATGGCCCATGGGACTATATGGAGTGTTTATGATGATCACTTATACATGTAGTCAATGGACGTAATCATATCATATTTTAGGCTTCTAGTGAGGTAGGGTAACAAAGGGCAATAGATGTAATATTTCTAATCGACCTTGAGTTTGTGTTTGGTTTCCTACTTACATACTAACATTTGCCTTTTTTTTAGATTTTTCTGCTTCCCTCTACATATACGTACTCGTGTCCCTTTTTGTTTATGTAAATTAAAAACAAAATTAATTGTCATTTCTCAAGAATATAATAACGAATCTTGCTATTTGAACTGCTTTTTGGTCAAATAAGATCATTGAAAATGTAAAAATGGAAATGTGATAGTTCATCTGTGTGACAAGAAATTTGTAAGAAGGGAGATGCAACTTTATAATATTTATTGAAGTGACAAAATAAAATTTCAACTTTTTCCCCCAAAGTATTATCGTCTTTAAACTCTTGAACCCATTTGATAATGTCCGTAACTGACAACTCTCGGAACTAGTGAAACACCTGGAAGTTTAGCATAGCGCTCTTAAATGCTTAACAATCATTCAATGAATAATCAAAGGAATGTTTCATACTATTTACAAGAGAACCTCTCTGCTTATATATCAAATAAATATCGTTTACACGTAAAGAACATTTGTTAGCATGTATGCCACATATGTTATAAAGCAAATTCGATCTTTCTACTTTTTTTTGAAGTAGATAATATCTATATACAGAATAATGGAATATACTCGTGCACAATCCTTACCTTTGTTGAGGTATGAACCCTTGACCTATTGGGAGGTTGGCTTTATTGGTAACCAGAACTGTTTGCCAATTTGTCTTGATGTGTTATTATGCTCGCCATTCCCACATGGTTATAACAAATTCTCATGTGGGGGGCAACTAATTTTCTTATGTAAATCCATGTTGGAATCGAAAGTCACTTGAGCTTATCCCTTTGGAAATGGTACAGAATACACGGTTATCTCAAGAGATAACTTTAATGTTTGCGGTTTCTTATATGTGTTGCTAAAAGTGTTGTCGGACACCTCAAAAAGTGGTGACAAAGCAAGAGCTTTTAGGATGTTTGTTTATTAACAAACCTTCATCTCAAAATAAGTCGAGCTATTTTCAACCATGAGGATTCAACTGTTGCTATCACTAAACAGACAACATAGTTGTATAAGTAATGTATTAGACACGCTTAAAGATACAAACTGCATGTGGATGTATGATACATTCACATGTATTTGATGTGCATGTTATTACACACAAACAAATAATTTTGCCATGAAAGATCCATTATTATTTGTAGGGGAGCCACTTTTTGGTTGAGATTTTCAAGGGATCCAGGAGAGTCCCGTAACGTATGTTATCTGCGAACGACATTTGCTAGTAGCGGAGTTGAAGGTAGAGGAGAATGAGAGGTTGGAACAGTGGACACAATTATTGGAAAAACAAGGCTTGCGTCTTAGTTGTTCCAAGACCAAATATGTATGGTGCAATTCAGTTAGGGGTGTATTTACGAGGGGTAGGAGTCAATAATGGTAATTTTTTTTTTTTTGGGGGGGGGGAAGTGGTATCCCAAAAGGACATTTAAATATCTAGGTTCCTTCATTTAGGAGGGATGATTGAGGATTGCATCAAGATGGTTGATCGAAGTGAAGTGCTACCAGATACTGTGTGGCAAGAAGGTTATATTAAAATTGAAGGGAAACTTCTGCAAAATAGCTATTAGACCAACTATGTTGTATGAGTTGGAGTGTTGGGCTACAAGGAAGGTGCATGAGAGGAAGTTGCAGAAATGAGGATGCTTAGATGGACCTTTGGTATATCATCATGTTTGACATATTGCCGAATTCTGACTTCCCATGAGGAGTTAAAGAGTTGTGCCTCTTACGAAAGGGTGATTGAGGTGGTTTGGATACGTTCATAAATAATTATATTATCATATAGGGTTGGGTTCCGGTGAGAAGGAGAGTTAAGGTGAGAAGCGTAAGAAGGGATCTCCACCTTTAGATGCACATTAGGATGAGATGCACCGAGATGCACCAGATCAATCCCCGTATCAAATGTGATTCATGGGTGGGTTTGAGATTAAAGGTGATCAAGGGTGGAGATCCCTTCTTAGTTAACTCTCCTTCTCACACGATCCTTCACATTATCATATATATACAATTATATATGTGATATACATATTTGCCGCCTCAAGCCATGCCTTGAAAAGCATTGTGGCCTCCCCATGGCTCCTAAGGCTTGATACTTGACCTGTTGCCTTGCCAATACGCCATGCCTCACGCCATTTAGAACTTTGCTAGAGTTGCGTAGAAACTTGGGACATTGTTGTATGTTGTTTTGTAGGCTGGAAAAGTATTTAGTTTCTTTTAGGGTTTTTGCTTTTATTATTGTATGAGGTTTCACATCAAGTCAAAGATGTCCTTTTTATCCAGTTTGGCGATTCTTATATGTCTTAGTGTGACATTGGTCGAACTCCAAATAAGAAAGAGTTGGGAAGTTTAAGAAAGAAATTGTGCATGAAAGAGAAGTGTATATAATCGAGTCCTAACATGTATTGTAGCTTTGACTTGTTTCTGATGGAAGGTTTGCTCAGTTTAGGTCCTTTTGGCTCTGTAGCTTTCCCTCTTCTTTTCAATCAATATATAACTTTGATAGACAGTTATATTGAAGACATGATGATGGATACGAATAAGAAAGACAAATCTAATTTTAGTTTTTAGTGTATCTGTGTAGTTAGCCAAAACTAAAGCTTTCAAGTTATTTTGTTTTTTGATTTCTAGTCCTCTGTCACTCGTTGATAATTAATCAATGGTAACTACTATCCACACAACATGAAGGATAAAACATATCTTGTTTCTGACATTAAAATATATTTGTCTTTAGGGTGCGTTTGATACACTGGACAGGATAGGACAAGACAGGGTTTGGCAGGACTTTTATGTGGAACAAACGGGAACAGTGTGGAACAAAGTGGAACAACCCTGTTCCACCCCTACCCCATGGAACAGGGTGGAACAAGGTGGACCAAACTTATATTTTACCAATATAACCTTAAAATAAAACTTAATTCTCTTCTAAAACATCAAATAGTTCTCCTTTTTACATTTTATTCATACTTTAAATCTTATTTATTGTATTTTATGCTTTTTAAACTTTCATTTTATTGTCCTCAAAATATTATTTTTATATGGCTTTTATATTTTTATTATTTATGTAATTTATTATAAATTAATGATAAAAATAATAATGTAGAAAAGGGATAATATAACAATTGGAAACTACATAAACTTTTTATTTTGGTGTCATTTCAATTGTTTTGACGAAAACTTTCTAATGATATATTTTGTTATAAAGAATAATTATTTTATTATAATTTAATAAATTACATAAATTAATCAAAATACATAAACAACTTATTAGGGGTAAATTGGTCGTTTTACTTGTTCTGTTCTTTTCAGTTCTTTTACCAAACATTGAACAACTGTTCTATCCTATCCTGTCTAGATACTAAGTGCACTCTTAGTGCCAAAAATCAATTCAGATGTCCCTAGTTTTATGCCGAACATCTGAAATAATATTATTTGCAATGTAGAATGTCCGGTAACATTCTTTAGCTTTTGTCTTTTTATCGTCTTGAAGGTGAGTAATGTTAACTATAGGTTGTGCTCTGTATTCTTGTAGGCAGAGAGGAGGAAGGCAGAGATTAGAAAGATTCCTGAGCAGCTTATTTTATCTGAGGTGCGACAAATGGTGGAGGAGATGCAAGCTGTGAACAAGCAGTTAGAGGAGACGGTAGGTTTCACTCCTTATCTACATAGCTTCCATAAATATAGACAATGAGATGCTGATAAGCAGTTCCACCTCGCCATGAAATGTTATAGAGACTTATTTAGAGTTGGGTGGTGCAGGAGACTGCGATTAACGAATACTTCAAGCCAGTTGATAAGCAGGCTGAAATGATAGTGGAAATGCAGCTTAAAGAAGAGGAGAAGACAATGAAACAGATGATGCACACTATGAAAGTACAAGCTTTCGAAAAAGAAATGGAGAAAAACGCAAATCTGAAAATTGATGAAACAAAGCAGGAGACCACAGACAAAGCTGAAGCAGGAGGATTAAGATGATGATTACAACAAACAAACATCAAAACTTGGTATGTTTTCTATCAAGTTATTGGTTGGAAAGTTTCTCATGTTTCTTGCTGATTTTAGCATGGAAGTCCTTAAGGTCTGTTTGAATAAAATTTCAACCATAAACCAGTTTATACTATACATGCAATGCTGCAGCAGCAGCAGCAGTAGTAGTAGCAGTAGCAGCAGAATAGAACTAAATAAGACTATGCAACTGCAGATGTCTCAAAATCATCATTTAAAGATGGATACAAAATAGAAAATTTTGAAACCTTATTATATTGATTGAGAAAAATAATAGGAATTTAACCAAATTTGTTACATTTTAATGTCTTTTATCCTAAAAAGAATCTTTTTTATATTATTTGTAAAGAATGTTAGGTTGTGCTGTTTGTTGGCATAAAATATGGTTTGAAGGTGTCATTAATTGACTTATTTATGAAATCTTTTAATTTAAATCCTCTACTTTTGAAAAGAATAAATGATAATGGTTTTGGATTTCTTTTAATTTAAATATATTTATATTTTATGACTCTTGCTCCTAACACATTGAAAATGTTACAAGTCAAACAAATGAAATATATATATATATATATATATATATATAGTTGTTATCTATAATGATATTGTCATTTTAATACCAAAATAATGTCTTTCTTATAAGGTGTTGGTATGTGTTGTGAACTTCATTACTGTCATTAAATGTAAAATCAGTTTGACTAAGCTATTTTTGGTTTTTGACTTTTTGAGTGTTGGTTCTTATGGGATGAATGATTTAGGCGTTGTTTGGTTGATTTTATATTAAGTTCTTTATAGATAAAATTGGTTGTATGGATTAATTTGTCTGTATAGATCGAGAGATTCTATTTAGGAGGGTTTTTCATATATATAAGGAGTATGCTTTTTAATTGGGAGGGGTCAAACTTTGGAGAAAAAAAAATTGGCTTTCTATATAAAGCTTTCTCTAAAAGCTTACTGAACAAGACACTTTTTATATCATTAAGTTATTAACAAACAATCATGTATAATTGTCAAAATAAGTTATGAGTCTCATTAAGCTTATTGAGCTGCTAACAAACAAACCCTTATACTAGAAGTGCTTGCAATATTAACTTTAACGTGTGTCTTCATCTTATTTGTTGATCCATATACCTTTGTACTCTTCATAGCAATATGATGTAGACTGTTATTTCAATTCATCCTTAAAACATATACACATACTTTTTATTTACTTTGGTTGACATTTCGGGCATCTTCTCATAGAGTTGGTAAATGTGGATGGGTGAAACTTGGTCCCTAAGTCTTCGCTCTAAACCCACTTGTCTATTAGTATTTGTCAAACCATCTGACTATTCGACGTCTAGTCTTTGTTTCAGTTAGACTCTCACCATCCGCTTTTGGCGTCGATCTAACTGCTCTTTTACTGGTCTTTAATTTTGCTGAAGGTGCTATGCGTGGACCAGATCGGATTACAAAATAGGACTTCAACATATTATAATAGAAATATTATTTAGAAGGATGACTGATTATTCGAATTACAAGCTGAATTTTGGATATCCTGATCTCTCTCTCTTTCTGGATCCTGGACAATCAGGTTCTATACAAGTCGGATCATATAACATTTCAGATCCTCGATGCTAGGCAACAAATTACAATGTTACAACATTTTATGTGTTCAATCAGATGTTATATTTTTGTGTTTTCTTCAAATCCAAATAGTTAAGTCCAATAAGAGTAAATTACAAGAATCGTTGTGGTTTATGAAAACTTTGGTTTCATTACTCGACTTTAATAAATATACTACACTCTATAGTTTGCATTTTGTTACAGATTTCGTTTTTGTGTCACTAACACGCATTAAGAGTTGTCATTTAAGTGCCCTTGCATGCTGGTCATATGAGGACATTATGGTCATTTCCTTTATTTTTACAATTTTTTAAAATGGTATGACTAATCAGTGATCCTTGGGCCTATCTATAACAGATGTCCCTGAAATAGGGGATTGGGTGATCGGAAAGCTTGGGCAGGAGTAGGACATTCCATACAATTCCGTTCAAATCCTACAGAGCGTGATTCTGTTCTTGTTAGGTCTAATTAGAATTTTGCTTATTCAACGTCCCCTTCCCCTGAGCTGGTTTTAGCTCTGGCAAACAACGAGTATGTAAAACATATGTACAACAATGTAAAGTCGAAATCTTGAGTCCTAAATTAAGCCACTCAACAAACAAACATACGCATGTGACAACTCCGGTGGTTTTATTTCCAGAGGTTAATCGCACTMTTCATCGTCCAAATCTCTCTTTCGATAAAACCTTTTTTCTACAACCTCAAACCAAACACACTTCAAAAATCATTTTTTAAAATTTTATTTTTTGAATGTGTTGCAATAATCAATTTCAGAGAAAAAAAAACCCATATAGAAATATCATGTTAAGCTTCCAAAAAGCACCTTTCAAAGAAATATATTGTCAATTTCCATGAAAATGAACCCACTACAATTTGGTAAAGTTACCAATTCCTTTTTGGATGAAATATTATTCATTTATTTAAGTTGTCATTATCATCTAAGGTGGTGTTTGAACCCACTACAGAAAATATCATGAAAATGTGTTGCAATAATCATTTATTTGAACCCACTACAGACGTTCAAATGCGACTTTGGGCTATCTGCAATCAGATGGTCTCCTTGGGATTAGTCGGCTCGCATAGTGGGTTGGATATCCAGGTTAATAAAAAAAAATGATTTTGTATCTTGGGTCTTCTTAAACCATTAAGCGTTCTAATTTCATTTTGAACAATTATCAAACAACTATATTTTAGTTTGCATTATATCATAATAGTCTTTTCATCATTCTAACCACTTGATCATTCTGCATTAAACTATTTGGATCCCATAAAATTTGGATCTTATAAGGCATTTCGGATCCCGATGCCTTCTATATTCCATTTTTATATAAATTTGGATCAGACACAATTTGATCTTTACTTTATATTTCGAATTCTTAAAACTTTTTAAGTGTTGTATCAGATATATTTGTATAATCATAAAATAAAATGGTTGAGACCAACAATTAGATATACTAAAACTAATAAAATATCATTTCACACAAAATTTAAGGTAAGAATCAAAGTTCTTGTATAAGTGTAAAGCCCTCAAATTTGGAAATAACGTCTAATTTAAAATTCCTAATAATACATCAAATAAGGACTTGATACACATGCCGACAATGAAAAAAGTTAGGCTTAACGTCTAGTGAGTTCAAACAGTTTCATATTAAATATAAAAATGGTAAAACTGAAAAGATGTTATTTAAATCATAATTTCCAAATTGAAATACATTTAGTATAAAAGCACATCCTTTTATTATCGTGATGAAAACTCATTTATCAAAACGTTCTTTTATTCATAGAACCAAAGTCCAATACTCACCCAAAAATGAAATGAGACTAAATGCCCAAAACATAAACAAGATTCAATACTCAAACCATAAATAATGGAAAATACTCATACCCAACATGTCACAGAAAACATGGGTAAAACTAAATACCCAAACAACACCCTTCAGTGACAAGGGAGAACCATTTCCATGGTGAGTAGTGGAACACAAAAGTAGGCCACAATTCCATGTTATAAAACTCATCTTGAGGATCAATGGCCCCAGTGGGATCAATTGTTCATGATTCATAGCTCAAGGCCCACAATGATCTTAGGTACACTCATTCACTAGAAATTACATATGTGGCCAATGGTTAGTATTCGACTCCCATAAGACGTACCAAGTTGCCCTCAATGACCTAATGTCTATTTCTAGCTACAATACGGGAATAACCATCCCATTAAATTGACTCAGAAATTACACCATAGGGTTAATGGCAGATGTTCTACTTCAAGAGCTTGCATCATGAGGCCCCCGATGACCCAATGACTATTCCTGGCCACAATGCGGGAACGACCATTCTATTTCAAATCAATAAAGACCGACTCCTATGTTTATGGATCAATTGCATTACAGTCTAAATTACATGACCCCAAATGAATGACTACACACTCAAAACATGTAATATTTCAAATAAATATGCTATAATTGCATATAACTTTAAAGCTCAACATAGAGCAAATAAACCGTATAAATGTCCCTAAGACTCATATCAGTCAAACCAAGCCAAAAGTTCAACAATTCAATTAACTATTAAATAAAAGTCATCAATAAAAAACGTATTTAATCAACGTTTATGCAAACACATGTTCTAAAGACATGATTAACTAAAAAACCCATTATTGGTTGGGACAAAACCATTTTCCAACTGAAATCATACCATTTATATTTCAAAAATGTCTCATAACATTATCAATATGCATTTTCCAAACCAAATACACTTCAAATGCATTATCACCAAATAATCTCCATTGATAGGATAAATCATCAAAAGAACCCACGCTAATGATTTATTTATCAAAATGTCCAAAAACCCAGATATATACATTTTACAAGATTTATTAACCCAAATTTACTAGATATGCAAACTTCATCAAATACTCAACACATTTGATAAGTATAAAGTAAAACACATTAAATACTTCAAAATAAACATTTTGATATGTATATGGTTTTCACAAAGCAACTTGAATTCACTTTACTAGGTTAAGTTAAACCTAGATTCCAAATCCAACTCTTCAGCTTTTAAAAGATGAAGATCTGAACCAAGCCACCAAGGAAATTTCTCAAGACTACGAAACCAAGCCAAAGAAGTATCAATCATTAACTCAAGCTTCAAAACCACGAAACATCCAAATATAGATCTCAAAACACCTAAGAAGCCTACCTCGTCGATTTTTGAACATCTATGTTGAATCCTTTGCATTACTTCACTTAGATCTCCTCCAAAATGTTGCCAACAACTCCTAAAATCGCCCAAAATGAGAGAGGACTGAAGTAGGTGAAGAATGGAGGGTTTAAAACCCGATCTGGACGTTCCCATGACCTTTCCTGCGACCTTAGTCGCCTGGTAGGTTGCTTGCGTCCAAAAACTCGTTTTGCTGAAACAGAGAGTTGCGTGGCTTTTCTCACGACCTAGGTAGCAGGATAAGTAGCGGGATTTTCTGTTTCGCTCTAGAATGCAACTTTTCTCCACCAGAACTCGTCCATGCCATAAGCTCTTAAGACCCAGTACATTCCACTCAAGGAATGACTTTTAAAGGCTCGTTACTATATATCAATCTAAAGGTATGCCCAAAATCACGGGTGTTACAATAAGAACTTTTTTCCTTGATGGTAGTTCTTATAACTCACTACAAATTTTACTTATAGGAACCTCCCACTAGGGGTGAGCATAGGCGAGTACCCGCCCTATTTGACAGGAACCGGAACCGGTTAAAATGGTTATTGAATTTTTGAAACTGGAACCAGAACCGGGCGGTTCTGGGTATCCGCTTCCTAAAATATTAAAATTTTGTTATTTAGAAATAAGAAATTAAACATTGCCAAAATACTAAATAAGTAAACAAGAATACAAATTATATAGTTAAATGGTTACAAATATTGTTTTACGATTACAAATCATAATAGAGTAATAATAAATGTTGAAAGTTTAACGATTACATATTATAATTGTAAATGTTCAAAGTTTAACGATTACATATTACGAATCCATTTAAACACACAATTTGAAAAAAATACGAATCATTTTATCTCAAATTCTGAATCTCGTTTCAACTTCTTGCATACCCATTGCATCCTTAACCTCGTACGGTACCTGTGAATAATTGAGTGTTAAAAAAAATACACAAACTCGTAAAAAACTGCACATATTTTTAACAAAAAACTACACAAACTCGTAAAAAACTGCACATATTTTTAACAAAAAACTACACAAATTTTATATAAAAAAACTGCACAAATTATATAAAAAACTGTACATATTTTTAACATAAAACTACACAAATTACATAAAAAACTACACAAATTATATATAAGAATTCAATTATTATTTTTAATTGAAAAATACCGGGTACCTGCCGGTTCCAGTTCAGGGTATCTGCCGGTCCCGGAACCGGTTCCGGTGGGTAACGGTATCGAAAAATTGAGAACCGGAACCAAAATCTTTCTCAATCGGTTCCGTATTTTAGGAACCGGAACCACTCATATCGGTTCCGATTCCAAAACCGACAGTTGAAGGCAGTTTTGGTTCCATAAATGAGTACCCGGTTCCACTGCTCACCCCTACCTCCCACTAGAGATAGGGTCTAAGAACTTGTTGTACTTATTTATATGGATTTGATGATGACACCAATCGAATGTCTTATATCCTGGACTTATTAGAATAAGTCATTTATGTAAAAAGCACCAATTTTTTAAATCATTGATTTGCTCTTGACAAATTGGAATGCAAGTGTACTTATAAATATTATATTCCATTCGTATTATTTTAAACGTGTTTATCGGAATCCATATTGATCCAAACCTATCACATTCAACAAAATCGAAGACTAGTTAAAAAGAAGTTAGAAAGACATCAAAATAGTTCGATGATAAATTAAACCGATTGAAGATCAGTGAATCGGATTCACCAAGTTGGAAAAATCTATCTGTTCAAAAAAATGTCCATAAAAATAATCGCTTAGAATCAAAAAATTCGTTGGGCTTTTCAAGACTTTTCGCTTAGTTTTTTTAAGAAAAGAATTTGATTAACTAGTAAACAAGTATGTAATATTCTTGATTATATTAAACTTTAAGAAAAGAATAAAATTTCGATATACGGGTTTTTTTATTAACAACTTAAGATAAACTCACTATTCTAAAAGGCTCGTCGCAACATCCGTCACGGTGTGCCTCAAGGCTCGTCGCAATTTCCGTCATGGTGCGTCGTGACTCAAGCCTTATGTCTCATGTCATGTTAGGCTTGTGGCACGCCACGACGTAATGCACGGTTTTTGTAAGAATTTGATTTTCCTATCTTTTTAATGTCTTATTTGTTAGTTATTAACATATAACTTAAATTGTTTATTATAATTGATTCATTGATTAATAGTAGAAAAAATATGTTTATATATATATATATATATATATATATATATGATATAGAGATTTGTCGTCATAAGTCACGCCTTGAAAAACGGTATTACCTCGTCGTGCCTTTTAAAGCTTGAGGCTTGACATCGCCGCCACGTCACGCCTCACGCTATTTAGAACCTTGACTCACAGTATTAAAAAAACACAATTTTATTATTAAATATAAATCATATCATTTATTAGATATTTCAAAATCGAAAGTGTTTTATTTTTTTTAAACTCGAGATAATTTGCATACACCTCAACTAATTTTACGAGGCTCTAAAGTTTACAACCAAGTAAACCGATAGTGGGTTTGGAATTTAAAGGGACTGAAATCAATGAACCATTAGGAAGTAAACCAAAAATGTCGACATTGAAATTGTGAAAATGACGTTAAAAAGCGATAAAGTATTGATTTATAGTGGAACAATGAGGAGGAAAGAAAGAATCTTCAGATTTCATAGATCGAAATGACGATAAATAAAAAAACGTGAAACATTGTTTGATACGTATGAAATATTCGAGAAACGTGAACAAAATATTTGGCATATTGCAAACAGTTTTGACAAAAAGAATACTTGATTCTCCGTCATGGTATTTATTTGTCGTACGATTTGATCTGAAAACGACACTTAAACTCATAGGGAGAAGGGAAACATTTCGAATTTGACAGAGTTTTGCTTTTCATAAAAGTGAATATTGGGTTTTGTTTTGATACTGCAAACAAGCTTTTACATGCATTTGTTTTTAAAGAGATTTGAGCTCACACTTTCAAAAGGTCGCAATGACTTGATTGTTACTTAACTTAATAATTTGAAACTGATTAAACCGGCACTAATTTTATTAAGGTGCCGTTTACCAAACGCTTACCCGAGTAAGCGCTTATTAAATCACTTTACTTTACCGGATGAATACGACAAGGACTAAAAATCTTACCCGGTAAGAGCGAAGACAAGAATCAAGAGTCTTATCCGGTAAGTGAGGACGAGGACTCTTACCATGGTTAGCGCTTACCGGGATAAATTGTTGCATACGATGCGATTTAGTAAATAAAATCTTACCCGGTAAGTAAGCGATAATGTTGAATTTTACTGATAAGTGCTTACCAGGTAAGTGTTTAGGTAAACAATCCCTAAATTATCAAATAGTTTAAAGAAAGTCGAAAACTCAGATTGAATGACCCGAAAAGAATACAAAGTTACATATTAGTTTATGCTTTATAAATTCGATTTTAATTAAAATACTTATATATTGTTGCATTATTATTATTATTATTATTATTATTAGTAAATAAGTGGTTTCAAATTTCTTAGATTATTTTAATATTATAAAAATGATATAATTTAAAAAAGTTATGAATACTTGATTATTTAGTAA